TATTGTAATAACTTTAACAAAAGATGGATAAGAAAGCATTGGCTAGAAGGTAGTCATCACAACAGTACTGTGGTTTTTAATGTAAATAGTGATAAGTATTTCATTTGTTTGTGTATCCAATAATTCCAGCTGCACCAGCTGTGAGGCCAGCAATGTCCGTACCAGGAGGACCTTACCCATATGTCAATGCTATTGCTGGGTAGGAATTTACTTTGTGTTGAAAAAGTATTTGTTGCTCAATTATTAAATGTGTATAAAAATGTTACTCAGTTTGTCATGAGTGTAGAGAGTAGTAACAACTGAGTTCTTAACAAGGTTCTTCTTCATTCCATGCTTTTTGCAACAACAAAAAAAACTTACTTTATTCGAAGACCAAGCTCAAAATTTGCCATCTCTTTAGAACCTTTGACCTTTAAGAGTGACTAGCATCTAATTTCTTCTTACATTATCACCCCTGAATCACACATTAAGGTCACCAGAATAAAGGAAATGATTATCAACTAAAGAAGCCCCTGATTGTTTTCTAAATTCTCCTTGTCAGCACCTTAGGAAAAGTATTGAGAACAGTAAGGAGAGTATACTTGCTGTTGTTAGGGTGTGAAGGGTCAAGTGATGTGAAATAGATTTGTGGGTACTCAGCTATGGTAAACCTCACAGCACTGAGTTTGATGAGCACAGTCTTTGCAGATGTTACTCACAATGTATGAAGAACTCTATAACTTTGTTGAGAGATTTATTGAGGGAGTTCTGCACTTTTGGAAGGAGGTTGCTGTCTTTATCAACAATGAGTATTCGAAAAGTAATTTTTCTCTATTCTAACAACTTTCATTTGCAGTGAACTTTCAAGTCCGACATCATTTTCACCCTCAGTGATGACTCCAGGAATGTCTGCCAGTGGAATTGGTTATGGTAGATCACTGGTATGAAATTGTTTAGTTTCTTTCAAGCAAAAGTTAATTTACCCTCATTATTGTCCACTGCCTTGTCTAGGAAGTTGTTTTAGGGCAAATTTTATCCTAAGGAATTATTATGAAATGCTTTTTCTACTGTCTTTGTCAAAGACATCTCGACCATACCTTGTTATCATGTGATGATTTTGCTCCTGGTGTTGGTGCAGTGTCAGTGATTTGGTCATCGAGCCCTGTTTGAGATATGAATGGAAAATTTTCTGTTGATTTATCTAGTTGAGATGCAGCTGGTCTTAATTTTAAAAATTTGTGAAAGTTAATGAAAGGATGTGCTCTAAATCTGGATAAAAATACAGCCTATGCCATTTAAATCTGGTCAGATAACTCTTTGCATGAAACTCCTATCTCCTTTTTAAACCCTTTAACTACCAAGATCTGACTGTTAGTTCTCCCCTCTGGCTGCTACAAATTTTCCTGTAAATTAGTGAGAAGTATTCTCATCACCTGTTTGCTGGAAAATGTTTGGATATCACAGGGAGAAAGTACATGTAGTCACTTCTGGAAGTTTAAGGCTAAATGATAAGGTCAATTCCAAGTTGTGGTAAAGTCATGTTTGACACCTCTTTGTAGTGTTTGACCTTTGAAAATTCACATTTGAACAGGTTGGCTTTGAACATGGTTCCCCTGCAACAAGAGTTGGTATGCCTCCTCTGGGACCAGGTCTCCCTGCAGGACCCCCAGGGGGTAAACCTGCATATTCATTTTATGTCAGTGGTGATGGCCAAATGCAAGCTGTACCATTTCCACCTGATGCGCTGATTGGTTCAAACATCCCACGGCATGCCAGACAGATCAATCAACTTAATCATGGGGAAGTAGTCTGTGCTGTCACGATAAGCCATCCAACTCGTCATGTTTACACAGGAGGAAAAGTAAGAATCATATCCTACATGTAAATGACTTCATTTGGTTTTTGGGTTATCATAGGTAGCTAAGCAATGACAATTTTTTGTTTCAAGGGGTTATTGTATGGAATGATGTTTAGTAATGCAATTTTTCCTTCTTCTACAGGGCTGTGTCAAAGTGTGGGATATTGGTCAAAGTAGTGGGAAAAGCCCGATATCAACATTAGAATGTTTGGTAAGCAGTTAATAAAGTTCATATTTGCACCATTGAGAGGGTGAGATAATATTCAAATTCTTAGCTCATCTTATATTGTCTACATTGCCATGGTTGTTGGAAAAAAAAAAAACATACTCTACACTAGGTTTTGATTTTTGTTGGGCTTGTCTTAAGAACTTGAAACTTTTTACAGAAAAATAAATCAGGTTGAATCAGCCACAAATCTTCAGTTTTTCTTGTGACTGTAAGACTAAGTAGCAACCTAATTTGTATTTGTGTATTTTTTTGGCAGAGGGATAACTACATTAGATCCTGCCGACTGTTGCCTGATGGAAGAACATTAATTGTTGGTGGTGAAGCTAGTACTCTAACAATTTGGGATCTGGCCTCGTCACAACCTCGTATAAAGAATGAGTTAACTTCAAATGCACCAGCATGTTATGCATTGGCAATAAGTCCAGACTCCAAAGTTTGCTTTAGCTGTTGCAGTGATGGAAATATTGCAGTTTGGGACTTGCATAATCAAACTTTAGTCAGACAATTCCAAGGTCATACAGATGGTGCAAGTTGTATTGATATTTCACCAGATGGGACCAAGTTATGGACTGGTAAGGAGGTGTTTTTTTTTTTCTGACCAAATAATTTCCTAGCACACATCTGTCATTAATTACATCATTCTGAAACTATCGATTAAAAAAACCTTAAAAGATACATGCTCTGTTTATGTGGTTGAAATTGTTGCACAAGTCTTGTATGTGTTGGTATTTTTTAGCCTTTAAACTCCCAAGATCTGATTGTTAATTCTCTTCTCTAGTTGCTATACATTTCTTTGTAAATCCCTTTACAAGAATTTGGTGTTAGATCAAGATAGCAACTTAAACCTGATGAGTTTAAGTATTCTTGTTACCTGTTTGCTGGATAATGTATGGATAATTAAAGGGAGAAGTTACATGCTAATCACTTCTGTGAGTCAAAGGGTTGAAGATTTTGTAGGCAAATGCAGTTTCTGTGTGGTTCCTTCTATCAGTTTTACAAAGGGATGTGGATATATTTGCCAGTGACCATCTTTGTGTGCATTAAAGTTTTTTTTTTTGTACAGTAAATTATTTCAGATCACTATTAATTAATCTGTTCTTTCTGACAGGTGGTTTAGACAACACAGTAAGATCTTGGGATCTGAGAGAAGGCCGACAACTTCAGCAGCACGATTTCACATCACAGATCTTCTCATTAGGGTATTGTCCTTCTGGTGATTGGCTGGCTGTAGGGTAAGCAATGATCAATTCTTAGAGTTTCCTTACAATATCCAATACGTATCAATCAGTTCTGGATTGTGAAATAATGTTAATTAATGTTGCTTCACGTGCATTGGTGATATGGGACACTTGTTTGAAAGTTTTGTTTGGAATACTGATGTTAATAATTATTCATATTCTGGAACTGACACATTAAAAATTGCAGTTTAAAATCTTGCAAGAGGCCAAACTAAACAGAGCTATTGTTTTCCTAGAATGGAGAACAGTAATGTTGAAGTACTTCACCAGACAAAACCAGACAAGTATCAGCTCCATCTGCATGAAAGTTGTGTTTTGTCATTAAAGTTTGCCTACTCTGGCAAGTGGTTTATTACGACAGGCAAAGACAACTTGCTGAACGCCTGGAGAACACCCTATGGAGCCAGCATCTTTCAGGTTTGTAGAGTTTGTTTAAAAGCTAAATAGCTTGCTGTCGTTTATTTTTCTAAACCCTGGTTTCTGTTTACTTACAGTCAAAAGAATCATCATCTGTCCTGAGCTGTGATATATCTACAGATGACAAATACATCGTAACAGGATCAGGTGATAAGAAAGCAACCCTCTATGAGGTGATATTTTAAATGTGTGAGGTACAATGTACCGATAAAAATAAACAGGACTGATTTTTGTCCCTCCTGTGTGAAATGAATGGATAGACAGCACATCCGAATCTGCGTCAAGAAGGATCAAAGTAGGACTGATTGTGCCATGTACATGGATGTTCTTGCACAAAGTCTGAAAAGCACATGTACAGATGCATTGTTTGGATGGAGTACGGTTTTTTGTAAGACATGATTTTGGATAGAACACTTTTCACTTGCTTGTAGAGTTCATCGCAACTTGGATTGTCAATATGTTTGTTGTGTCAGTTAAAGACCCATGGCCTCATCACATTTCTAGTTACCACATGGGTGTGTCTTATTCACAGTTTATTCCTTCTGTGAAAGGCATGGCAACAACTATCCAGTCATTTCTACTTGTGGAAAAATATGTGGAAATTTTAGTTGTTATGCTTAAAGTAACTGCCTCAGAGGAGAGGGGATTGGGCAGTTCATGAAAGAAAGAGTGTACCAGAATTGAACTATTAAGTGTGTGAATTTTGTCAGATATCACTCAAAGAAAACTTAGTATATGATGATAAAGAGTGAATCTTTTTTAATGTAAAATAAGTTTTAAAAGATTGAGCGTATTGTAAAAAAATCCCCCCAAGGTTAAACAGCTGCCTAGTTTTGCATGTGCATATCTTTCATGCATCTTCTTTTGTTAAAAGACTGCTAACATTTGCAAAAACGTTAGAATTAAATAAAGTTCTTGGAATTTGTGTTTGATTTGTAGTTTTGCTTATTTATTATTTTCATTACAACATGGGGGCAGTAATGTGACTTTTAAGGGGTAAAAATTCAGTTTTAAAGCACATATAATTTACAGAAGTAAATTGGTTACTCAACTCACAACACAATCAGTTCAGGTGTGTACCATGGCTTTTGATCGTAACCTTTATTTTTGACTTGAGGATGATACTGTACAGAGATATAAGAAGCCCATCAATCTTAGGGGCTAAGGTGTTAAACTAAGTTGACTTGTTCAAGCTGTTGTTTCTGATCAAGCTTCGCATTTACAGTTTGCTTAAACCTGAAATCACCTCTTGGTGGTGGGTAATTCTTATCTTAAAGTCATCACAAAATTAGGTTCACTTCCTTTTCTTCCTGGCAGCATTTGCCTGTCTTAGTTTTATCTTTCTTAATCTTCTCCAATAAGTTTTGTTGTTTAAGTCATCTGGCTCTTCGTCCACTGGTTGTTTTGGTTGAAGAACTTCCCATAGCCAGTCAGGATATTCATTGTCTGGTAACAGAGGTGGGTCAGATCCATCCTTTAAGTAATTTATACCTTGACAAAGCTTTGGCTCTCCACTACCTAGAAATGAAATAAAACAGTTTTTCTGTACCAGATCCTGTCATGCTTATGTAGTGCACAAGTCTGTTTCCATAAGCATCAATTTTGCAGCACTGAGGGATACAAAATATTGAATTGAACTAAAATAAATCCCAACCCATTCACAAACAAGAAGGGGGATCAAGAGGTCAAATTAACAACTAAAATGAACTATAATGCGCATTCAGGTGGTCTTGTTTTATGGTAAAAGTTTGAATTAGCCATGCTGATTTGCCAAGTTCTGGGCATGTAGTTAAGAAATGACTGGGGAATTTTTCCAGGATAAAGCAGACTTCTCTAAATAAAACTTGATTGCCTGAATCATGTTCCAGTCAGGAATAGAGATTATTCCTGTGTTAATTATTTTATTTGTAGTTCAACTACATTTGTGAAAGAAAACTCTAAACAAATAAATAAATAGCAACAAGAAGATCATGTCAACTCAATAAGCCAAGAATTGTGACTTCCCTAATTATTGAGTGGCACTACATCACAGACTCCAGGTAGTAACCTAACCAGACCTTGTAGTCAATGATTGATGAGGAGTATGTGTCAAACACAGTTACACAGGGTCCCCACTTTTATCATCGAAGACCAAGACCAAGCTCATAGTAGGAATGTGACATACAGTAATTGTCCCCTCACAGCCAACCAAGAAAAGCCATAAATCAACTCTTTTCACGCTCATTCAAAGCTGTTAATTGATATATGAAATAAGAACTAAAGGCAAATTTAAAACGTTCGAAAAAACCCGGTACCCTATAAAATTGATGTAGAGGCCATCGTCGAATTAACCTAAGAAGGGCAACTTGGGAATATAACACTACTAAATTAAAGTCCACCTTGTCACTAGTCTTTGAAAAGCAAGGAATACGTCATAGATACTAGTATTGCGATTCGATTAGTGTTAATAAAAGGCCCTGCATTCTTAAGTTTTGTCAACACAGTCATCACAGCAAAGAAGCAGATCGATGGCGTTAAAACAATTCAGACTCCATCACTGAGTCGATTCACGGATTACACAAAGATCAAAACCTGGTTTCTTCTGCTTTCACACCGAGAGAAGGAATAAAGCATCAGTTGTAGTTCCAATCCATATAAATTCCCTCTGGAAATGAAGGGGGACGTGATTTGAACTCATCAACTATGCAAGCAAGTCGTGCTTGCACACGCAAGAACGAAGCAACAATCGTAACTTATACCTATGGACATCAAGTACTTTTAGTCTAACCTTACAACAAATTAACCTTTCTGAACTTTACCTGATTCACTTGAAAATAAACATACTGGTTGAGCTGTTAAACTTGTACAAATTCTTGCTGTTAAAACCTGTTTTCTCCGCAAACCTTGGATAACACATCTTACCATTGCCACCGCCATCTTGTTTCTTTACGAGCCCGCAATCTTCGCTGCTCAAATGATTTCTTTTTACTAGGGAGGGGAAGGGAAGTAGGTACATTGGTTAAGATTTAAGCATTTCCTTGATATATAAAACGAATCTATAAAATTATTTTGATTTTGAAAAGAAAAAAAAATGAAGATTCCATGAAGCATCAAAATACTAATCTAACCTTATTAACTTTAATAAGCAATAATTTCACTGTCCCCTCCCTACAAAAGAAGCTTATCATTCACATGGTCAATACAAGATGGCGGACGAACTGGCTGAATTCGAACTAACTCGTGTTCCTTGTGAAGCAAATGATTTCAACTCTGGAAGATGTCGGATTACACCGATGATAGCAGAAAAAATAAAAGGAAAGATAAATTCGCCGGTTCGGATCGCAGTTGAATCTGGATTTGTGCTGTGTTCATTGTGGCCTCGATCTGACGGGATCAATAAATTTTTGCAGTTCGATACACTTGTTACTCTTCGAAACAACCCAAGAGTGTGCCAGATAAACAACTCTCCTATCAAGAAGAACATATCATCCGACGACATCGTTGTTATTGAGACTTTCGAGGCCAAATCAGTTGTTATTTCTCTGTATTTGTCGAATTCAGCTGAAGATTTTGATCACGGCATGACCCAAGTTACACGTGAGAATAGAAGAGAAAGAATCTCTCGAAATTTGCTACGAGGTTTAGCAGTAATACAAGGTTGTGTTGTTGAGCCAAGAGAATGTAGAAACAGTCACAGCTCATCTAAAAAAATAAAAAAGATTATAATAATTGCCACAGACCCCCCAACTGCGTCTTCGGGGAATAACGCAGCAAAAGTAACTGATAAAACAGTGATAACTGTAAAGTCAGTAAGAAGAGGATGTTACCTAGAAAGCGAAAACACTCAGATTTTAGCAGGCCTTGATGATGCTGAGAAGGAATTACAAGAAGTTCTTAAATATCCATTCCATTATCCAGAATGCTTTCAACACCTAGGACTTGAATGCCCCAAAGGAATTTTACTTCAAGGAGCCCCAGGAGTGGGCAAGACACTTCTTGTTAAAAGTGTAACTTTTCAGTGTAATGCACAGTTGATTATACTGAATGGTGCTGATGTATTTGGACCACATCCAGGAGAGAGTGAGGAAAATCTGAGACAAAAATTTGAGATTGCAAGGTATTTGATTAATAGTGAATTGTCAGGGAAGCCTGTTGAAATCCTGGAGGGGGGGGGGGGGGTAAATTTGTGATGGACTAGTGTCTCATCCAGGGAGGAGTATAATACTCCTAGTCACTTCATGCTATGGAAACTGGGATAAGCTTTGGCTGGATAGGCCATTTTCTTCTAGTGCAGAGTATATTCTAATGCTGCTACCTTCTTTTTTAGGAATGCCTCACAGCATGATCCATGTGTTTTATTTATTGACGAACTTGATGCTTTGTGTCCAAAGAGAGGAAACAATGGCAATGAACAAGAGAACAGGATTGTTGCTCAGCTTCTAACTCTTCTTGATGGTTTGGAATCCCGAGGCAAGCTTGTCGTTATTGGAGCAACAAACAGACCTAATGCTATCGATCCTGCTTTGCGAAGACCAGGCAGACTTGACAGGGAGGTCAGAAGTAACAAAACTGATTGGCATGAAAACTATAGGCTGGAATAGTCTGAACTAATAACTGATGCATGCCTCATCTTGAAACCAGGCCTGAAAATTTACATTCAAAACATTTTCATGGCAAACCTAGGGAGGGCTGCAGGGACTTATAAAACTTGATATGAACTATTTGTGGCAGGGTCAATTATTCCACAAGTCATAAAATGAGCAGTATGTTGGATGTTGGTAGATCCAGAGAGTGTTGCAGACAGTCTTGTGAAAATTCTAAAAAGACACTCCTGAGTTCTTGTTTTGCATTTTTCCAACTTCGCTAAAGCAGACACTGAGATAACTAGTTTGAAAGATCAAAACATTTGCATTACTCTTAGTCCCTCAAGTAATTTTTCCCTTTAATTAATATCTATAAATTATCCAGCATTCAGGTAATGAGAATAATCAATGTATGGTTATTTTAGGGAGAAGCTACATGTAAATCGCTTGTGAGAGGTAATGAGTCAAAGAGTCTCATCTCTTTTCTCTCTGTTGCTTCCATGCACTGTAGATTGTGATTGGAGTACCCAATGCTTTACAGCGATTATCCATTCTAGAAGCACATACAAGATCCTTCAAGTTAGCAGAGGAAGTAGATCTTTCGCATCTTGCCGAGCTGACAGTAGGTTATGTGGGAGCTGATATTGCTTCACTGTGTAGAGAAGCAGCATATGTAGCAATGAAAAGGATGCTGAACTTCAGCAGCAGTGACAGCTCAGGTATGCATTACGTTTACTCAGACTGAAATAGAAACTGAAAAGGAAAACTTTATCGACCATTTAAGCTACACAATACAATAAATATATCGGTTTACCGGCCTAATAACCCACGTGGTATGTTGGGAGGATGCGAGCAAAGTTTACAAACTTTTCGAGTATAATGTTTTGCAAATTCTCGGGACTTGGTAACAAATAAATATTTGGCATTATCTAGGTAAATTAACTTATAGGTCACACAAGTGAAAGGCTCAACTTGTGTCTGATAGATATTGTCGCTAAAGTAACCATGGCAGATTTCCAGTTGGCTTTGTGTCATATTGTTCCATCCATGTACCGAGGATTGGAAGGAATGGTTGAATTTAATTCTGTTAGTTGGGAAGATATTGGGGGTCTTCAAGATGTTAAACAAGCATTGAAACAGGTACAGTTATGTTTTTTATGTTTAATTATTTTTACCGAGTTCTTGTTGTGTCTTGTGTTAATTGGAAGTGGAGTGCGATTCACATTTCAAAGAAAAAAGGCCGAGTAGAAGACAGAGATCGTCATCAAAAGGAGGATGTAGTCTGGATATATCACTGAATTATCCGTACTGGGAGGGATAGATATCTTGAATAAGGAGAATTTGTGTGTTGATACTGATAAAAGCTTTTGAAGGGGGTTTATGTGGAAACAGTTTACATAAACACAAGGCAAGAGGTACAAACGCAAGGTATTGTAGGCTTTGCTTGTTGAAATATAATGTAAAAACTCTGGTCATTTTTCGCGCGTTTTCGCGGTGCCAGGAAAGAGTTAAGGCTTAAATGGAGATTTTGAGACAGAACGCAAGGCGCGAGACTCAAGGATACTAAATCCAAAACGCAATTCATGAACGAGAAGGGAAGAATACGAAAGCAAAATGAAGGAGAAGAACGAGAAAGGAAAAGCACGAGTCACGAAGGAGACATACGCTAAACGCAAGTATTGAACGCAGAGGGTGAGACGCGAAGGCGAAAGACAAGAAGTTTTTTTTTTAAGAAAAATATTTTATTTTATGATTGATGTAAATAAAAATTCTTAAACACTGTCTCATTTTTAGGCGATAGAATGGCCGCTCAAATATCCACAATCGTTTGAACGTCTTGGTCTTAAGCGACCCAGGGGCGTTCTTCTGTATGGCCCTCCTGGGTGCTGTAAAACGACCCTTGTGCGTGCAGCAGCCTCTTCCTGTAAATGTACCTTCATGGCCCTCAGCTGTGCACAGTTATACTCACCTTATGTTGGAGATGCAGAACGGAAAATACGAGAGGTCAGAGGAAAGTGTGTGTTTCCAAAACGATCCGAAAAAGCTGATAATTGACGTAGCATCAGCACCGAGTCATCCTCCTCTGACAAATGGCTTATACTCAAAACGTCAGCTTCTTAAAGGACTTGACTATTTCTATCTTAAATTCGCCACGTCGTTTATCACCCTTTATCAATTTCATGGTGAAAATCAAGTGGGTGTTTCACCGGGCCCCTCAGTTTCTCTCTTTCCCCCACCCCCGTGCTGCATAACTTTTCTCATTAGAGTGCTTTACGATTTTTGTCGCAAAACAAAAACCGAAGTACACAACAGCCATTCAGAGTGCAGAAAAATACCGGAGCCCATGAGTTAAAACTAGCAAACTGCCTGAGGCGTGGGAAAAAGCGAGCGACCAAGTCACCATTATTTAGTTTTGAATGTCATTGGTTGCGGAGATGGCGCGATTACTTTTTTAGACCAATTACGTAGGGGAGTGGTTTGCGTGAACCGGCAGTCCAGGGAATTCCTTTTTCTCATTTAAGAAATCAGTTGTCTTCCCTTTTTTTTCACCATTCAGGATTATTTGAAAACATTGCTAATCCTAGCTAAATACAGGATGCATAGTCACATGTGAGCCTGATTGATTGATATATTAATTCTGAATTTCAACTTGTGTGCTGTTTTCCCTCAGTTGTTTACTAAGGCCCGAGCGACGGCTCCGTCAATTCTGTTCCTTGATGAATTGGACGCAATCGTCGGCAAACGATCTGGGACGAGCAGTACTGGGGTAGAGGCGCGACTGCTGTCAACTCTGCTGAATGAGATGGATGGTATCGGGGTATTGGCGAATATCTACCAAGCAGAGGAAGGAAAATCAAATTTTTCACTACAGACAAAAGATAGCGACTCTTGTAGCGAACAGTTGATGAGAACCGAGTTAGGATCAGTAGAGTACGGCAATGCGGAAATATCACAGAAAACTCGCAGATTGAATATTATCAGCTCTTCGACCGTGAAAGACGTTCTCGTTGTCGCAGCTACTAATCGACCTGATGCAATCGACGAGGCCCTTCTCAGACCGGGTCGAATCGATCGCATCATTTATGTGCCACCGCCAGATGTAGAGGCGAGGTTACAAATCTTAAGAGTACACACTCGTTCCAGTCCTTTAGCAGAGGACGTAGATTTGGAAGAATTCGCCTTGAAAACCGAATTGTTCTCAGGTGCTGACCTCGAAAATCTCTGTAGAGAGGTAAGATATTGGATGTCAAGGTCTGATTTGAAACTCTTTATCTTAGCTGTCCTACATTTCCTTGTAATTAGTTGGGAGAATTGTTCGAGATGTGATCAACACACTATATGACTGAAAGTCTCTGTTTTCTCGTAACCTTTCTGTTAGATAACGAATGAAAATCGTTGGAAAAAGATAATTGATCATCACTCCTAGGAGTTAAAAGGTTAAACCCTTTTCACTCTTAATCAGTATCGTATTCTACACGCTGTTCTCTTTACATTTCCTAAGGTGCAGAAAATCAAGACCTTCTTTAGTTAGTGATCATTTGTTTCATTTTCGTGGCTTAAATGTGTGATTCAGGGTTGATATTGTAAGGAGAAATTAGATGTTAGTTACTCTTGGGGGTCAAATAGTTAAGGATAACATGTGGAAAGAAGTTTTCATCGAACGATTTCTTTCATTTGACTGAAGGAAACTGGTACAAGAGTTAACAACGAAGGGAATCTTAAAATTAGTGGAAAAAAAGACAACAACAGTAAGGGAAAAAAACAAACAAAAAAAAACAGGAAAAATGAAAAACCAAAGCATTGTGCGCCTATTTTCAATTAAGGTAACGGATTCGAAAACCTGTACAAGACGCAAAATATCTGGAGAATACTTCTCTTTTTTTTTCAAATGTAAACTTTTGCTCCTCTTTGACATTTTTTCCGTGAAATAAATCCGAATTTTGTCTTTCATTTTCAACCTATGCTTGTATTAATTTTGGTGACTCATTTATTTGCTTTATTTTTCCTTATTAGGCCGCTCTTTATGCTCTTGAAGATGGAGGAATGTCAGTGAGTAAGGTGGAACATAAACATTTTATTGAAGCTCTTTGTACAGTCAAACCCTCCCTTACAACCACACAGCTACACAAGTGTAAACTACTGGAGCAGAGATGAAATATAAGCGATCAATAAGGTTCCCATATAAACTGATCTTAACAAGATGTATTTGAAAAAATACATGCGCAAAAGCTGATAGATCACTATATAGAAGCATATCGAGTTAACGAGACCAAACTAAAAGTAAGTTGAATTTGTGGATAGCTTAAAGGCGTACTGCTTATCTCGTCAGAAATGTCGTGACGAGAGCCATCGATCTCATCATGTATGCGATGTTTACAAAGTTGCTGGAAGAGGAAAGAGGAAAATTGAGGAGGCTTTAAAAAAAGCGGGAAACGAGATCGTCGATTGTGAAGACGAAATAGGGAAGAATACATATATTCTTCAAAGTAGAGGAAAACAAGTTGAAGCGGCCCGCAGAAATGTGGCAGCGGATTGTAGATGAATTGATTAAAGTTTTAATAGCTGCTGAAAAGCTTTGGTTATCCAATTTTAAAAGGATGTCCTTCGTTTGCAATTCATCATGAAGACAAGTTCTATGTTTTTTACCAGAAGAACCACTGCGTACTGGTTTTCAGTAATGATGGAAACATCCCCTAGAGCATAGGCAAACTGACGGCAGATAGGGTGAAGGGCCTAAAATTCTCTTCAGGTCTTGCTGTCGATAAGTTCAACAACTTGATTGTTTGTGACACTCAGGCCAGCCGGATGCAGGTGTTTTACCTTGGAAGGAGAGTATCTTACAACTATTCTTGGCTTTTGGTCCCCGCAGTATGTTGCTGTTTCTAAAAATAGACATCTTTATGTTGCCGACGGGAGGGACTTTGTGTTTGTTTTAAAGTAAATAGTGCATAAAGTTGCCGGAAGCTTTCGTGAAGTTAGAAGGTGCCTCATAATTTGCGCAAAGAAAAGAAGACATGTTATCAAATCAAAGAGGGCTAAACAGGAGATCAGCTACTTAGTTAGCTGTTTTGTAAAGTGAAGGACGACGTTTGTTAAAATTCGACTACAAATGATATCAAATGTGAGAGTTGTCTATTCACAGTAACATCATCAGGGGTGTTTTGAATATTTCTGATAAGATAACTGCATATTAGGTTTACATCTTCCCTTGAAACAATAATAAAGTGTTTTTGGTACTGTAACTGCTTGAGCCTGAGGACGTTTTTTTTTGTCTTTAGGAAGACATGGCATCTGAAAAGCGAAAGAAAGAAACAGTTTGTCAGTAGTGCTTAATAAATCCCTTGTAGATTGAGAGACCATTATTGCAAGTCGTTGAAAACATCAGCATGGCACAAGCGTAACCTTAGTTGCTGGGGCTTTTGCGCGCTCTATGAGTTTAAATAATGAAGGCGGTAGACCTGCTTAAAAGAATAACTGGGGTTTATTTCAGGAATCACAGCTGATAACAAAAGCCTTGAGATTTTCACAGGCTTGCGAGTAGCGATGGATAGAAGAAATGTTCATTATTGAGTCAGAGCTGTGTAATTGCGTTCAATGTTATTCGCCTCCTCCATCAGCTGTGTCTGGTCTTTGCAGCGTGACACTTTCAAGGGTTACAATATACTCGACGGATTTAACAAAAGTTGTGCCTTCTCACTACGAAGTACACGAAAATTACCTGCGGGTTTAACTATGTTTTCAGTGTGTTGCCTTGACTGAGAAGATGGTTTATCACATCCTGCTCAGAAGAACAGATCCGGATGGCTTCCTGCAAGTCACAGCTTGTTGCCTCAGGGAATAAAGACTGCAAATGTTGCTGCAAGCTACTTCTACTTCCGTCACCAAGGTCTCCTCCCTCAGTTGTATCTTGAAATTCATCATCAGACAATTGGCGAGTTCTTATATGTTGATTAGCAAGATGATTGCGAGCTATGTTTCGTAAGACTGCTCTTCTTTCTGCACTTAGCAGAGGAGTTCCTCCGTGGGAAGTGAACTTTAGGAGAATCACAATCAGGCATATGCCAACGATTATAACCACCACATAATACCTACAAACGATCAAGCAATCCGTTAGCAAGACAGTGAAGAATGAATAATTTTTTATCCTTACGTTATTCATCGTTAAGTTAGGTGATGCATGATCTGCCATATTGCCCTATTTTTTTTGGCGAGGTAAGCATCATGATCTATCAAAGTTTTTGTATTCAAATATAGGGTGATTTTTTGTCCGCTTTCTAGATACCTCATGTAATGAAATCCGAAACTACAGTAGAGATTTGGAAACGTTCATTACGTTAGAACTTGTTAATTAAAAAAACGGTGATAGAAAATGGTTTGATTGACTAGTTTGCATTAAATATTTGAGGTGTGTACGTTCGAGAATGTGTAATCATATGAAGAGCAAAGATGGAAACTGCAAACGTCTTTTGAGTTCACAAATAGTTTATTACCAGAGGATATTCGCAGGCTGTAGAAATATAACAAAGTTCAGTTACTTTGAGCCAAAGTAGTTCATCTGAGATTTCAAATCTTTGATAACCATAATTTACGACACTCCTTGAGATCGAGAATTGTACATTCGGCCTATGAGGAACAATTATAATCTTCGATCGCATTGAGATTCTTTGGAAATGAAATGGAAATAGATCGTGTGATCGTACACAATGGAGTGACTAGATATGTGTTAGCCATAGTGAGAAGACATTTTTGCTTTGGCAGCATTAAGATCGAAGCCTTTCGGTTTTATGCAGTCAACTCTCAATACTCCTGGTATACAATTTTACAATCTGTCACTGCAATTGTAAGCATGCCAAAATTTGAAAAACAAACTAAGAGTTTATGGGATGGGATTGCTCATCGATCCAGTTCCATGCGAATTTGTCTTGATGACATACAGTACTGTCCGAAGCTCTCTAAGCGATGGAGGACCCCCAAAGTTTTCCGTAGTTCACGGAGTGTTTTCTTTTCCCTAGTGAAGGTGATCTTTTCCAGTTGATCACAAATTAGCCATACGTCGACTTCTGCTTCTATTTCCTTGCCCTGCTGCCTCCTGGCTCAAATTGAAATCAACCAAAACATACCAAGGTTTGTCCATGTATTCCATCTTTTAACGTTCTGACCCTTCTTCCACTAAAGCTTGTTTGGTAAAAGCTTGTTTACTCTGTTGAAATCATCTTAGCATTCGAACCAAATCGACAAACTCTGACACACTCGAAAATTCAACTTCACTCGAGAGTATCGAAAACTTTGCTTCTGTAGACATGAGCAGTTTCGTTCTTAGTTGAGATGGCGACTCTCTGTACTGAGTTAAGCACTACCGACTAATGGTTCAAATTTAAGGTCATTTTGAAATTTTGTTACTGCTCTAGACTCTTTACTACAGGAACCGGCTGCACCTCCGCCGAGATTTCGGTTTTTGTTAACGAATAGTTAACCATTTCGAGAAACATTTCCACAAGTCCGGCGGAAGCAGGTATGACCAGCGAGGGACTCTACAGTTGAACAATACCCACTAATGATTCAAATTTAGGTCTTTTTGAAATTTTGGGAGTCGTGACTTCAGCAACCGGCTGGTATTAAAGATTTCAAATCTGTCAACAAATAATCAACAACCATTTCGAAAAACATTTTCCACAAGTTCCGTGAAAGCAGGTGTGAATAGCGAAGGAATTCCGCCCACTTGGTGTTTTCAACATACGAATTGGTCATTAAGCATGTGGTGTAAGACTGGTTTCAAAGAAATGTGTGAAGAATTTATCTCAGTTTTTCAATTTTCTTCAAGACAAATTACTCTGTGAAATTATGCAGAGAGCTTTTACTGATGGAGCACAATGAAGCAAGGTATCCCTCGTGTGCGTACTTGTGGAATACTTAAGCAACAGAGTACCGCAATAATTTCCTAGCGTAATTAAATGTGGAAATGAAGTTGCTTTCGCATAAACATGTGAATGTTTTCCTAAGTGGCTGCCGGCTGCTTCGCGAGTAACCTTAATATCTCCACTTTTATTTAAATAACAAATCAAGAGAGGCACTTTTTGCGTTGCATTTCGTGTTCCTTTTTGCTCAGAAAAAAATACAACAGCTCCTATATTGAGCCCTATACGGACGTCTCGGGAGTGAATATACTTTCATTCGAGAAACTTCCTATAATTAACCTGGCTGAACCTCCTTCTCTGTCTCCTTAATTTCTCTTGACGATAGCACTGGCACCAACCTACCCTTCTTTCCACTTGGTTGCCCTCCTCCCGCCCCCCCCCCCCCTTTCCCCCCCCCTTATCCCTTCCTCTGTGCCTTACACGAATACCGAGTTCATGTGACTGAAATTTCAGAAGCCTTCGAGCAGGCCATCATTGGCTCTGGAACAAGTGCGGGTAGGCGATGTGAGCGTGCTTACTTATGAGGAGTTTGCGAGGGTATTACCACTATTGGCTCGTAGCGCTGAGAACCTTCACGCTGGTTAGAATTTTAGCGGTAAATGTCAGAGGCCAAACCACATAAACTAACAACAGCTGAACAAAGTGTGTACCATTCTCTTTTTATCCAGCTCCATAGGTCACTCGTAGTTTCCTTGGAGAAAAATCTCTTAAAAGCATCCCTGAGTGTATTGATTTGATCCTCACTGTCCACAGTGACGCACAAACCATACGTGTCGCAGTAACCTTGGTGACGCTTGCAAGTGCTGCCGGGACGTTTAACGATGACTCGACCCAGGAAATGCTGAACAGATATGCAAACTCCCTAAGAGTCACACAGAAAAATGCAATATTAAGGTTGCTTGTAACATTTGTAGTAGAAGTCTGAGAGCAGGATCAGTATTAATAACAACGTTGTTCCTTACATAACTGCTGTTACAGCAGACATGGCACATTTCTTCTCTGTTCTGATGACATTCACACTCGTTGGTCCCATACAGTGCACATATTGAACCAATACAAGCACCCTCCTGACACGTGTTCGACCCTGCATTGCATGTTACATTGTAAGGTTTTAACTCAGCCTGGGGACAACGCCCATTCTGACCAGTAGGAGAAGTTGAAGAACATAACTCTTTACATCCTGACATCAATATATATATTCTTCATACTGTTTCCCTACATTTCCTATGAGACTAGCTTAACAATCAAGAGGTTCTTTTATATTGTTCTTTTATGTTAATTGGTTTATTCAGCTGTGAGATACTGTGAGGGGAAACTGGGTGCTAGTCACTCCGTGAGGTTATAGGGTTAAGGAGAAGCATACTCAAGAAACAATTTGATTTTGATCTTTTCTATTTAAAGTCATCCGTAGAAGAGGGAAACTTTGTTACGTCAAAGCTAAGCGGCCAGGTTGCTAAGTGAGATTTAAAACGGCGGCGTTCATGTCCGAATTCTTAGCGCACGTTTTAGACAGTTTTTGAGAGAAGTTAGGTTACTGCTTGAATCACATAACGCGCACGATATCACCATTTCTTATGTTCTTAATGGCGGAGAGGAAAAATGATTCAGTTTTAGAGTGTACTTGTCCTGTCATTAGAAATTTCTGTCCTTGCCCATTGCTCATTAACATTTGGAGCAAAAATTGGTGTATGAAAATTACTGGTGAATGGATTGTGATCACGGTGAATAGGATCTTTTTTAAAAAACCCTTGTCTAAAGTATGACTTTTAGCATAACTAATGGCATTGATCAATTTTGATGAGAGTGAGTCGTTCATTAATTATTAATCCAACCTAATTTAATCAAAGGATATTCGCAAATAGAAATTTTACTGCACTCTGTTTCGGCTTGACAAACGAGTCCTTGAGATGCTGAGATAAAAGTACAATCCTCTGTGCAACATTTTCCCGCCACGTTACTGAAACATAAACAACAACTAACGTAAAACTCAAAAATTCGTAAACCCTAGAAAAACTCATGAAATGTTGTTGTGTTTCTAAATTCAAAAGACAACCAGGCGTAAGAAAACCAAACTGCAAACAATAATGGTGTTTAGTTTGTGATTTTGAGGTTTGCCGGCGTTTCCTGAACTTTTGGTGACTGATGTGTCAGAATCAAATCCGGAGGCGTTCACGGTTTTCTGAGTTTCCTAGTAATAACTTGCTGAGATGGCAGTTCTGCCCCTCCCAGTTCCGTCTTTTCGTAGAACAATTTTCGTTACTGGGGTAATCTTCTCCTTCTTTGAAACTATCACATTTGTATTTAAGACTTACGTGTACGGCTCTTAAAAAGTAGTTATTGTCCGTAAATGAATTGTTTAAAAATTTCGCTGTGTACCTGGGTAGCTTAAATTTTTTCATCCATGGCTCAGAGAAGAGATAGCAAACGAAGTCTATTCGTCATGATAACGTTATACGAACAGGTTACCACATGACACATACCTACATTGTTTCCCCGGCTGGATTGTACATCCAGGTACTTTCAAGGCGTCATTTCGTGCCACACAACACTTGTCGACTATGGGGCATTCTTCTGGACTTCCACAGTCACAATCTTCATTCTCTTCGACGATTTTATTGCCACAATACGACCCGTTATTATGAGCTTGAAAACAAAACATGAAGATTTACTTAGGCCTGCCAGTTGCATGAAAATAATTTAACCGGGATTAACCCTCCAGTGGTTTTATGGCGCTCTCTTATCAAGTCACGAAAGAGTGGGTTGTTATCACTTATAACTATCACTTTGTGTCAGTACCCTTAAAGACTGCTCTCCGTTCCCTTCTCTTTTTCCTTCTTCCTCTCCCTTAACCCCCCCCCCTTCAGTGACATACTGTCGATAGAATATTCTGGCAAAAAGATGACGTAACATTTTTCGATCTTGAAATGTACATGCGTGACAGACGAAACAGAAAAAAATGCCCTTAAGGACGAAGGACTGTAAGTTTAATCCCAGCATTTCAAAGGCTAAACTGATTTTCAATTTGATTTCGCGACGAGTTTTTCTTGACTTAGAAAGCTCACCGATAAAACATTGTGGTCCTCTAAAAGAGATAATAGAAGACATATCGTGCTTGCTACAGGAAGAGAACAGATAATTGTTGGGTTCATTTCCGTCGGTTGCTTTTGGATACATGATGAAGTTACCCGCTTTTCCTCCTGGGGAGCATTGGGCCGTAGCTGGATCATGCTATGGAAAAAAAAATTCAAGACCAACATGGGAATAAATATCTTATTTCAGATAAAAATGCAGCCGCTTACCTTAGAGTGACAGACCTCTCACCTGTTGGTGGATGAGACAAACTCCTGATCGAGAGGTCCTGGTGCGAGTCCTGGTCGGGGTGATTACACTTCGTTCGTGCTTGAGTGCCCCTTGTCTACATGGTCTACCCAAGGTCATATACAATCAAAAAAGCGTCATATTTACCTCAGATCCAAAGCCGTGACCCAATTCGTGCGCTACTGTAATAACTGAGGCCTTCCTCGGTACTCGAGCTCCATAGTTTAATAGCGTTACTACTGCTGTATTTAGGTACAATGCCTCTTCTTTTTCATCAAAGAACATCCTCCTGGAGCATATACCTCCGGAGCTCATGTGATCAGAGTCCGCAATCCACGCTAGCCCCAGAGCCCCGCCGGGGAAGTCTCTGTTTGTGAAGAGCAAAGCTAGGCAGTAGTCGTCATGATCAATCTCGCTCCATTTGATAAGGTATGACATCATACTGATATCCTCTGGGCTTTCCAAAGAACCTGCAACAGTCACGGATATTTTAAAATTGACAGAAAGTGTGAGAAGAGGACCGGTGATAATTAAAAAAGAGAACGTCAGCCTTTCAGGAAACGAGCCACCTGAATGAACAACTAAGGAGGGAAAGCAAATGATGTCTGCCCCTGGTTTTTCAACTTCCAATTTTGTCACTCGCCTCACTTTTCCAAAGGCGAGCTCAGTGCTGTTAGGGTTTCAGCGCGAATTCTTTCCCCTAAATCTGTATAAAAATATGAGAGTTTGAAACTGGAAATGCAGGAAATGAGAGCTCACCTTTAACATTTGTCACGTGATTGAAACTGTTTCGATGAATGGGCATTAGAGTGAGGCAGTTTGGAACACCGCAAAATTCGCCAGATTTTTCAAATCAAACGGAGTAAAGGTATTCTCTTTGATAAAATGTCATCAAGGTAGATTTTAGACTCAAAGTACTATTATCACCTTCCGCTTGCGCATCTTTAAACACAGTGACAGCGGCTACGACAAATCCAATTCCATCTCCAGGCCCGCCATCTTGGTTGAAGTCTGTTCCCCTGAATATCTTATCAGCCATTGCCACGTGATACACCATCTCTGCTACTGTGACTCTTTCAGAACCCGAGCCCACTTCCTTAAAGAATATATGGTCTGCGGCAAGGTAAACAGTACATGTTTTGAGATTGGAGCTGCTGGGGTCGCTGTGGCGAACTCGTTTACTGGTAACCTGTAACATAAACGAATTTGAGAAAAACTGGTGATTGCTCAATACTGGGGATAATTTATTCTATCGAAATAGTGTCGATGCGATTATTTCATATTTATATATCTATCTCACCTGGCTCTTCAATTTTTTAAGATCTTTAAAGCGGGCCATTTTTCTTTCGATTTTGGAGAAATTAAACTTGACACTTGTGGCGGGGAAAATGATTGAATGAAAGGATGTCTTGAAGTGAGTATACCGTTCGATAGGCTCCAAATGAAAAGTTTCACCAAATGCAAAGAAACTTCCATCAAATCGTCCGTTTATCAAGTGACCCATGACAAAGGAATTCGCATCTCCTAGATAGAGGAGAAAAAAGAAGCCAGAAAACAACCTATAACTATATAATAGCATTTGTGAATTCTTGCAAGTTATTTGACAATATTCCGAGTTTGCTGTAGCAGAAACTGTAATATTGCCAACCGACAACCCAGCAATTTAACGCTTTATTTCATGCTCTGAAAATAGCCTATATCAATATTTTTCATAACAAAATATGACACTTTTTGCAAATCACGTCACAAAAGAGGAAAATATATTCCTAAAGATTTTTTCCGTTACGAAAGAGTATGCACACTGAATTGTTACCTTTCACGGTTCCAGTGTAAGCCGTCCTTGGATCGTAATCACTTGTGCGCTCTGAGCTCTGCGTCAGGACTCGAAACTTCGCAGTTTTTGTGAACAATCTCTGGTGCTGATTAAGCGATAGCTGGAAGTTTCTTTGGATGGAAATTTAGTCGCAAAAACAAACTTTCATGACCAGAGAGTACTTAAGTTAATAGAAATATCGTAAACTTTGAAAGACTCGTGAACAAGAATTCAATTATATTAAGAGTTGGTGTTTCTTTTAGACTGCAAAGTGCAGCATCTCCGTTTGTTTACAAATAAGTGTAAACTATTACTTTGTAAGAATTACGATATGATACCTCTGAAACGCCCAGAAGTTGATTGCGACGGCAGAATTTTTCGAGGAATTTAGCACCTCTAGGTGCTGTTTATGCACATCAGTTGCATCGTAATCTATGGCCTCGTAATATCTGACATTTTGAGCGATGATCTCTGTTAAGGACAATAAAAATTGAAAGTTAATGTTTTTGTGACAAGCTCCCGACTTATACGCCGAAAACTTAAACCTTTGAACATTGTGAAGATCGACCATTAAATTATTCAGAGAAAGAGGATAGAAAGCCAGCTGGAAAAAAAAGTTAGGGCTTTTGAAAAAAGATAGAGGAAAAAGAACTTAGAAATGATCTTTGATTAGTTGTTGTAACAGATTGAGCACAATTTTCAAAACAAGTTATTTTCCTGGATTCATTTTCACAATCGCGTACCTTTGACGTAAGCATCTTGGATTCCTGTTGCTGAAGAGACTAAAATTAAGTTTAAAATCCAACAGGAAGCAGTCAATTGTAATTTTTTGTCGAACATGGACATTTTTTTGTATGCACTGGATCTGATTTTTCAACCGACCCGTTGTTTGTTCTGTGCGTTTTCTTTAGTCGATAGGAAATCTCGGCAAACGATCGACAAGAGATTGGAGAGGAGGCCAGCAGTCAGTCAGCGGAAGTCAGCGGACATAAGCAATAACTTGAGTGGTTCCAAAGCAATATGGTGGAGGTAGATAGAGATTATATTTTCCTAACCCTTGATCACGAATCTTTCCTCATAGATCAGGTGGATGACACGAAAAAAAAGTTCGTTGCAGAAGGTCTTTGTTTCTTTGTAATGCGTTTAATATGTAACTCGTGTCTATGAATGTATTTTCTGATTTTGTTGTTATTTACACAGCCATCGGCTGTGAATGTAACTACTGCCATTTATGTAGATTCTTAGGCAAGACTGCAGTTTCGATTCTTTCTGAATCTCGTCAGTTGCCTCCTAAGAGCGAATTCGTCACGGAGGAATGACAGGAGTCGCGCAGGCCCGTAAACGCTTTTTTACTTTCGAAAGAACGGCAGGAGACAGTGAATCCTCATCATATTCCACTTATAATCACCTCACCTCGCAGCCAACAAAGATGTTCACTCGACCGCGACATGATACAAATGACTCACTTTTTGTATTAATTTTTGTATCATAGATCTACTTAGAAATTATCACATCTTCAACCCGGCCAACACATGGTCCGGTGCATCCTTCATTGTAAGTTGGATGACTCTGTGAAATGTGGAGCAGTAATTATTGTTTGTAGTTACTACTTATAAAACCCATGGCGGAGAAAAAAGACTGGAGCAAGTTATCGACAAAGGAGCTGTTGGAAATGCTACAAAGACAAGAAAATCTTGTTAATAAGTGGGTCTTCCATTTCCTCTCATTTCCCAGAATTTTAAATGCATGGTCATAGACTTTCCACCTAAATGGCTCATTATTTTCATCTATTTGTACTTGCAATTTTAATACAGGAAGTTCTTGCAAAGCCTACCTGACAAAGGCAAGAAGATAATCGAGACAGTCAAACGACTCAAGGATCTGATTTCTCAGAGGGAAAAGTTAGAACTTCAAGATATCGATGCACAGTTTGAGAAGTTGACAGTGTCACAGCCTGTCCAAAAAACAAGAGTTGATTTGTTAGACAGTGATGATAGTGATGATAATGATAGAATGCTGTCAGGCTCCGATCACCAAGACACTGCTAATGTAAATAAGCAATCAAGTGGGAGTCAACATGAGGAAGCAATGGATTCAAAGTCTTCAAGTGGAAGAACATGGGATTACAAGTCAGCTGCAACACCTGCAACATATAAGTTTGAGGTAACAGGAAGACTCTGCCTTCATTTATTGCACTGAGATCAACATGTGTTCAAGAGGCAATTATGCACAGGCTGAAGATGAGCTGTTGCTGTATGTGTCTCACTTCTTTGATTAAACAGGCCAAGGATAGCTATAGGAAAGGAAGGGTCTGGAAATGGTATTTACCCATGTTTAGATGCAGGGGTGTCACTGAGGCTCAGAATAAAACTAATTTTTTTTTTTGTTTAAAAAATACTTGAACTTGTGCAGGACAAAGGAGGAGATCCATAAAATGAATATTTGTTTAGATAATACTCAAAATCTAATGTGCAGTTCCTATTCCTCATTCTAAAAGTTCTTTCTCCACAGATAGCAAAGCCAATTTCGTTAGAAGAATCCTTTAAACTTCAACAAGAACAAGAGAAAAGACGAAAGGTGTGAATTACACACACAAGAACACATGCGTTACTAGCACACAATCAGGTTTCATTTTAGACTCTACCTTGAGTGTATCATGACAATTTTGTAGCAGTATAACTAAACTCACATTCCAAATTAAATATTTCAATCAACTAATCTGAGGTAAATACTAACTAAAGGCTTTTTAGAAGGGGCTAAATGAACCAAGTGTGAACTCAGCATGTAACATGTAGTTGAAATTTGGTGGGCATAATGGTTATAAGTATAAATCTACAAATGTTCCATTACAAATGCTGTAGCCTGATAGGTTATGTTACTGGCAGTCTATTCTGTGATTCATAGATAACCTAACATAGTCTGCTCATAAACAAAAACATGCACAAAAGCACAAGCTTGTCTTGGTTCGAAGTTTTGAAGGATCATTTGATTTATACTGAAACAGTTCTATTACTTGCTCTTAATTTCTGTGATGGTTTATCCTGACTCTTCCCGCATCTACTACAGTGAAATAGAAATGTCAAGCTCATGATCAAATTGATAAATAGAATCCTAAAGCTTACAACCTTTAGTTAAATATTCTGAACTCTGAAATGAAAATTATTCTGCCATTACCCAATAATATTTGCTTATTTGTAGGATCTTCAAGCTCAACAAGCAACAATGAAGCTTAGAGAACAAAGCTATCAGGTTGGAACAAACCACTCAACGCAAGTTTCAAATCCTCTTCAGTATCCTTTATTGCTGCTTCTTTCAACATGACAGGAAAAATGTTGTGTTTAATTTAATTACTGTACACACAAATTAATTATCAGGAGATGCCAGGGGATGTGTACAAGAAGCAGATTCTTGTTACTCAGAAGCTCCTTAGGAAAAACTGAGTAACAGGTTGTTTGTGTTCCTTTACAAATCACAGTCAATCTTGACTCTTGAAGCCCTTGTGAATATAAGTTTTCACACTTTAATTTAAAGAATTACACGTTGTTGAAAAGCATGTGAAACACTATTTGAAAGGGATCTCATTTATTACATGCTCTTCAAATGCTTTTCATATGCATTTCATATGCATCATTATGACATTTTGATGTAAAATAAGTGTGGAAGCTGTTTGAGGACTGTGCCTAGACTCTACCATTTGGAGGGCCCAAGTACTTTCAGATATGCCTCCTGTTTTCCTACTTTTAAAATAGGTCTTGAAGGCATTAATCTTGCTTGCACAGACAGACCACTGTTGAGCTTGAATTGCTCAACTTGGATTGTTTCATTTAAATACAGGATAGACATTATTTGTACATGTTAAATATCTTTCAAAAACTTAACTATATGTACAAGATATCAAGAAACAGTTCTGGAGAATCACTCAAGTGATGACAGTGACCCTGAAGAATATAATGCAAGGCCCTTTAAAATGGACAGTGAGGATGATGGTGACTAAAGAAACCATAGAAAACTATGTATCACTGTAAGCTTATAAAGTATATATTATGTAAATAACAATTTATTTTTACAGATTTTGTTTTGGTAGTTATTTACTTTGCTGAATTACCAGCAAAACAAACTGTACAGCATCACTCATTAGACAATAAGCTAATGAAGCTTTTTTTCGATATTTGTATTGGTTCCTGAGAAAATCTATCTAAAGCAAAATATGCAAATCAAGATCCCAGATGAAAGCCCACAGCTAAAATCAACACTCTGCTGGAGGCCTTTCCAATAGTAACACCTTTTGCTCTTTGAACAGGTTCCCCTAGAACATTCTTCCAGTCATATAATGCATTATTTTTAAGATGTCACATTTTTTCAGAAAATTAAACTTAACTACTTCCTCTTACTAAAGAGCAAAAATTTTCTTTCCTGTACACAGGCATAAGAAATTTTTAAGTCTTTAAATAGAATTCCTGAAAAGTCAAATGGTCTCCAAGTTTGTTAAAGTTCACATGCTCATGGCACCACTTCTTGTCATGTTCCCAGAATCAGCTTCTGTTTCTGGTATTGCTTTTACTTCCATACTTGGTTCCTCTATCTTTGTGCTTGATGGTGGCTTTCTGATTGGCTTTTTACTGTTTCCAGCAATTATTAGACTTCCAGGAACATTTACATAAAGACGTACCCTAAACAAATTCATGAAAAACAAGCTTACATCATGGATGCAGTGAATGGAACAACTGTCGCAGATAGAGTAACCACATAGAAAGAGAATTAAACAAAAAACATGAAACATTTAACTAAATGATGTGTTAACCCTTAACCCCCAACATCTGATTGTTAATTCTCCCCTAAAGCTGTTTGACATTTCCTTGTAAATTAGTTACAAGAGTTTGGTGTTAGATCAAGATAACAACTTTTACTTGATAAAAGTGTTCTCATTACTTGTTTACTAGATAATGTATGGACATTATAGGGAGAAGTTACATGTTAATCACTTTTTGGAGTTAAAGGGTGTAATAACTCTCTGTGAAATAATGGCACTTATTACTCTGTTGTCGATGATTGTGCGTATCAACTTAAGTTAGCAGCAATGTTTTTTTTTTGTTACCTGAGAGCTGTAGGAAACATACAAATAATATCACTAAAGGTTTAGCATCACAGTGATATTTATTAGGAGTAATGTTTAGGTATTAATAATGACATTAAATTTAATTTATTAAAATACCTCAATTATTTTAGTTTGTGGTATTAGTGAACTTGTACATATACTTTGTTTGATTACCTGCTTTGTGTTCATCTCATGAACTTTACTTGAAAAATAAAATACTCTCAAATGAGGCAGATATTTTATATGTTATGCAAAAGAAAAATTAGGAAATAAGGATTGCAATTTAATGAAATTTTGGCATAATGCAGGTTAAAAATTACTTTAAAATTAGCAAGCAAATTCATGATGAGTAACAAGAGAGCAATTAATTATGATTACAAAACAATATTAAAATATTGATAAAAATTACTTTAACTGCATGCAAGAAGAAGAAGCTGTAAGATGGCTCTCCTAGGTAGTAAAGGGAAGTCATAGGTTGAGTGTTCATGGGAATTAATAAGACCATATACTAACAAAGAGGTTGATTGCAAGATCAGACAAATGCAGGTTTTCCTTTCTTGTTAAATTGAGAAACAGGAGGAGACACAAGTGTGTCTACATTGGGACACTGGTACTCATCTTTCACCCTAGGCACAAAAAATGAAGAAAAATCGAAGAGGTTTAATCATTTTTTTTTAAGTTCATTTTTTTATCTGTGTTTAAAGAAAAATTATTTTGATTTAGATCAATTTTAGTTAGGACCAATATAGAACAGGATTGGATTTGCATAAATCATACAGTTTAGTATTAAAATTCTATTGAATTTCTTTCAAATTAACTTTTATTTGCATGTAATAGATTTTTATTCATAATTAACCAACACTCAAGAAGAAAATTCCACATAAAATTACTTCAAAAAGGTTTTTGACTGAAAAAGATGACTAGAGAATATCAACAGGAGACAACCCTTCTAGAGAGGGGACATCATACGGTCTAAACCTTGCATTTAAATGAGAGAGGCAGTATTAGTCACTGTTATACACTTGCACATCATTGTGATTTGTAATTTTCAATACACCTAAGATACCACACCTGTCTTTCAGCTCTTCAACAAGATATGCAAACTTTCTGTACTGCAATGCACCAAATTCCTTAAAGATAAGACAAATTAACATTTTACTCAACACTACGCTACTTAAGTAGATCTAGTTTAATCCATGATGGTAATTCCACTGGTCATCAAGCTTCAAAAACAATTTTAAATTACCATATGCTGACTTGTGTTACTTTTTTTCTTCAGCAATCCAAATTATGATACAAATATTTTTTTGAGCTCTCTCCTCCCATGATTTCTCATGTGTGAATGGGGGGGGGGAGGGGGGGGAAGAGCTCAAATGAAAATATAAAAAGGGTTTTAATTTAGTTGGATTGCTTTCATTCTCCCTCCCCTCCCCTCCCCCCCTTTTTTTTGTTTTGGTGCCAATGGATTTAAGGATATATTTTGCTACCAAATGGAAATTAATTCTATTGTTTAGTACCTTGGTTTCAAATCTTGCATGTTCATACATATCTGCAACTTCTCTGATTGTGTCATCTCCACCACGTATTATATTGTTTGGCGGCCCCTGTAAAGACTTGAGGTGTTCTCTGACGGACTGTTTCTTTTTGCGGCTGTACTTGAAGTCAATAGTGCATAAAAGATCATCTGTGGTAGAGAAAGATATTGAGAAAAATTACACTGCTTTTGAAAGTCAAAGCTGCTTTTATATCTTAAAGCTAGAAGTGACAAGGTATTAATAAGAAATAAAACAAGAAAACTGGTACATTTTGCAGACCTAGTTCTGTCATCTTATCCATGGCTTTCATTCTGTATTTATAGCTTCTGGTGTATTGATCTGTTAAGAATAAAATGGCTGATCAGGAAGATGCATGCATAATGAAGCATTTGTGAATCTCCTTTACACACATCACCCTTAGTATAAAGCTTAACAGTCCCTAGAGAAACCTCATTCAAAATGGATGAGGCTCATAATTGAGAGGAATCACCAAAGGGTGTTGATGCTTTGCAATGCAAGGCTTTCCAATTGACCTTATCCAGAAATGAAATCATGAGATGGCAATGCATCCAAGGCTAACAGTAGCAGTGAGGTTTCTGCTACAATATCTCCTGTTTCTACTCTTGCAAGAGAGTTTGAGTAAGTTTAGGCCTATAATTTTATGAACCTATGATTTGTGTTTATGCCATCTGAGTGAGAACATGTCTGACAGGCACAGTACATATGCGAAGGCCTGAAATTGGGGTTATAGTCCACTAACCCATGCAGATTGATGATTGTTGGTGGCAGAATTTTCTTGAAACAAAAAATAGCACTTACAGCCTGTAAAAAAAGAATATCTACACAATATTCATGGTACTAACCTGAAGGAGAATCAAAGTTGGATGTACCATCTGCGGGTTTGTTGAATTGTTCCGATAACATCCTAGGTTCCATTCTTAACTGGGAAATTCTTTGCAAATGAGCAGTAATCTCTCTTCCCAAATCCTGAGGAGAAAAATTCAATTTTATTTGGTTAACCCTTTAAACTCTAAGAGTGACCAGCATCTAGTTTCTCCAGACAATTAAACTGCTGAATCATTCATTTTAGATAATGAGAATAATGGAAATGATTATCAACCGACAAAGCCCTTGATTGTTAAACAAATTATCCTTGTCAGCACCTTAGGAAATCTGTAGATAATAGTATGGAAACTGTGCATACCGATGTTAGGGCGTAAAGGGTTAAAGAACCAAATAGCAAAGCTGAGCTTGCAATCCAGTTCATTAGTAAATATTAGCATGTTAATGTTGCTAATAATGACGTATATGTATTATCATTTATCTCAGAAGGGTCTCAAATCCAAAGTAGATTCCACCATTTCAATGGCAGACTGCCAGTCCAGTCTCCTTGAATGTCAGACAACTCGCCCCCTGGACAATTAGCCCCAGACGATTAGCCCCCAGTCTCTGGACGATTAGCCCCCAGTCTTTGGACAATTAGCCCCCAGTCCCTGGACGGTTAGCCCCCAGTCTTAGTTTATGTAAAGGAGAAGTTAACTTTTTTTTTGTGAATGTCTATCTTTATTAACATTTAAATAAACACCAATTGACATTAACAAGTAGTCGCCAATAAGTTAAAGTTTCGAAGTTTCGTCCCTGGTTTCTTTCCTTTCCTATTTAAACAACATGACGGAGAAACATTCGTAAAGTATGTAAACAGAAAGAACACAGTTCATTTTTGTAGAATATATAAACAGAAAGAAGACAGTTCACTTTATAATTCGATACGCACGGCAGGGAAACGTTCATAACAAGCAAACAACAAGACAGCAAGAACGTAGTTTACTTAATAATTTAACATGCATGGCAGAGAAATGTTCGTAAAAAGCAAATAACAAGAACATTGTTTATTTCATAATATATGATAGGGAAACGTTCGTAAAAAGTAAAGGGCAAGAACATAATTTATTTCAAGGTTGGTGGGTTGGGGGCTAATAATCCAGAGACTGGAGGCTAATCGTCCAAATACTGGGGGCTAATCGTCCAGAGACTGGGGGCTAGTCGTCTGGGGCTAATTGTCTAGGGGGCGAGTTGTCCGGATACCGTCTCCTTTAGGTGGTGAGGTGGTCTGATTATGTGTCACTTTCTGAAGCATTATTCTTCTCTGTGTTTGGTTGGTTTTAAACAACTGTAATTGACCCATTTCAAAGACTTATTGTCCAACATCACCAAAGATCACTGTACTGTAGCTTACCCTGGGTGCATCACTACCAACAGGGGAGTGTGGTCCTCTTTTTGAAAGTAGCAACATCCTCAGCATTTGCCGCTTCACAATTATCGCAATGAGCAGTACAACCTTTGTAAATTTAAAAAAGAGTAAAAAATGAAAATCTGATTTTATTGAAGGTCGAGGGGATACCATATGATACCATTTTAACCAACATACCGATAAGGTGAAAATAATAGTCATCACAAGCCCAACACCACCAAGGTTTTTCAGCAGTTTGGCATCGTAACTGCTCACAGGATCCGCCATGTTCAATCTTCTCTTCACGCCTTTAAACGGCTTACGACAAATCTCCACGTTCTTTTGAAAAACTTTGCAAATAGTTTGAACTATAATTAGCTCAACATTTTAAGCATCGCGATGACTACTCATGTAAATCACCACATTTCAGCTAAATAAGAATGCTTAGCTGGGAAGCTCCTGAGAAGTAACTTTCATCAGAGTAACTCGCCCGCGATACTGTATGTTACGGGCAGCGGATTATAATGGTTTGGCGGTAGGTACGTCATGTATGGGCACAGCCAAGCACAATGTTCAAGATGGCGAGCGACTGATCTGGAGGAATCTTCCCGCTAAAATCGATGATCTCAATATGGCAGAGAGGAAACTTACAGACGCACAAAAGGCTCGTATTGAGAGGAATCGCCAAAGGGCGTTGATGCTTCGCAATGCAAGGCTTTCCAATCGACCTTATCCAGAAATGAAATTGCGAGATGGCGATGCATCCAAGGCTAACAGTAGCAGTGAGGCCTCTGCGACAATATCTCGTGTTGTTGATACAGGGGGTGGGTTTTTATTAGACCCGGAGGAAGATGAAAGCCAAGGAGAGAGAAATAATCTTGTTAGAGAACCAGGTCAGTTCATAGAGCGGAGAGTAGGCCTGAAGACGAAGGGTCGTAAAATCTTACGTAATGTATTCCAGTATACATTTTTTTTTCGTATTTTAACCAATGTTGGTTATTTTGTACTATCGTTTAGTGTCCTCAATGATTTCTGTCGGGCTAAATACCTTGGCAACCAAATTAAGATTCTTATTTACCCTCGCGTTGGGGTGTAGGGGTGGGGGGGAGGGGGTTGAAATTTTCATGCCCCTTTGGACCCCCCCTGAGGTTACCTCTTAATAAACTGATTTCTTAAGAGGATCAAAATAGATCTACATCCATAAGAGACTGCAGAGCAGTTATCACTTTTACTGTGTTTATAATTAAAGTAAGGTTTATTTTGATTCCATCAAAACAGCACCCATTCTCTATGGAGATCAGCTGCATTGCCTTGAATGCCAAAAAGAATTCCTGACATCATACATCTACAAACACTTCGAGGTTTATGTTTGTGATAATTGTAGGTAGGTGGAGCAATTTATTTAGAGCTTTCTTGGCTATGAATTCCTTTTAGAATCCTTTTGCGGTATTAAGTAGCATTTTTGAGTAATTTCTAACATACTGTTCTCTTTTGTAGAGACCCTGATGAAAAGCATTCACTAATAACAAAGACAGAAGCTAAGGAGGTGTGGATCTGTTTAATTTTCAACAAAATTTACAAAAGGATTTCTAAGTATTCTGTAAACAGATATTTACACAAAAACTCTTACAGGTGTTATTGCTGTTAATGCTATAAGTTAACAAAAATGGATAGGTTTTAGGTCGACCCTCTAACATTAAGGGTCACTGGCATCTTATTTCTCACTAAGGTATCACTGCTGAATCCAACATTAGGCTCATGAGAATTAAGGAAATGATCACAAACTTAAAGGAGCTATTGATTATTAACTTGACTCCCTCATCCATGCCATAGGAAATGTATTAAGAACAACATGAAGGAAATAAGGAATTCAGGTTGAGACTATTTCAAACTAGGGGGTAAGTTTCTAAAGAAACTGTGGTGCTAAGTCAGTGGGGGAGTATAACAGGGTAGATATAGTATTATCAACTTATAGTTTGAAAGCTGATGTTTTGAGTGTTAGCCCTTTGTTGAAGTAAGCATATTTCAAACTAGATTGATTTGTGTTCTTCATTGAAGATGTATGAAATTCTAATTTGAACAAAGGAAAAGTCAAATTTAGCTGGTTTGAAATCATTAAAAACTAAATTTTTTCAACTTTTACAAATACTTCATGGTTATTTGAAATTAACTTTTTTTTCTTAGCAATTTCTCTTAAAAGACTGTGACTTGGACAAGAGAGAGCCGCCTTTGAAATTCATTTTAAAAAAGAATCCACATAGCTCCAGGGGAGAAATGAAACTCTATCTAAAATCGCAGGTGGGTCATTCCCCTTTCTGCTACTATCTGCAACATATTACCGAGCACTGAATTTATTCAAGGGCAGTATTTGATTGAGTAATATACTAAACATGGTGTCAGAAATGTAGTTTGCCAGTATGACTGAGATGAGTTGCGGAAAGGTTTGCAGGGGGGGTCTGGCACTAATAATGAGAGGCTCACATTACTCAAAGCCTGATATTTTTGAAAAGGCAAAGAAATGCTTGTACCAAAGCACAATTAATGAGGGTCCACTTATAGGTTATCAGAATTGCAGCTAGTGTCCAGCACTAATCTTGTTAGCTGTTTAACTCTCAAGATCTCATTAGTAATTCTCCTTACTGTCAGCCAACTGATTCTCGTTGTTATTTTTGAGAATTTGGTATCAGATCAATTAGTAATCCCATAATTGATATTTTTCTTTATTCTCATCACTTGTCTGCATGATATTGTGTGGATATAGTAAGGAGAAATTTTGTCTTGGTCACTCACAGGATTTAAAAGGTTAAGAACATCATCATCAGTTAGGTTTTGATATGAGTGGTACGAACATTCTTTGCTGTAGATTGTTGAACGTGCTTTTGAGGTGTGGGGAGGAGAGGATGGTCTTGAAGAAGCTAGACAGGGCAGAGCAGAGAAGAGAGAAGTTCAAAAACAAAGAAAATTTGACAAGAAAGTTAAAGGTTTGCTTCATTTTACATCTTTCAAATCTAAAACCATTCAAAATGTACCAACCATTCTAGTCTCGTTTTGTCTTTTCTTCCATGCAACAGAACTTCGTCGTGCAGTAAGAACAAGCACATGGAAGAAAGATACTAGTAGACACCAGCATCAGTTTGAGGAAGAAGAAGAATATAATGAGGAAACTGATGAATGGACAAAAACATGCAAGACATGTGGTTATCAATTGACTTATGAAAAGATGTGAGACAAACAAAGAATGAAACAATGTATTTATTTCCTCACTATACATGTATAAAAATCTAATTTATTTCAGCTTTATTACGCTGTAAATGTTTTAAGTATTGTCGATTCATATACATTGCATTCCAAGACTGAGTTTAAGGTCTTGAAATAATAGGTTAGCTTGTAGGCAAATGAATAGAGTATGTTGAATTCGCGACCCTTAAGGGTGAAGGGAATTGGGTTTGATCTATAAGTTGCAATCATAAACTTCAAATGCAATGTATTATTTGAACAGGACTAGTCAAAAATGATAGAAAAATGTGAGTCCATTGCAATACATAATGTTTTTTTATGTTGCTCAAAGGAAAAATGTAATGTGTCAACTTGACCCTACAGAATTCTGGTTGATATTATAAACTAAAAAAAAAAAAAGGAGATTTATACTATCATTTCATTGTTTCCAAGTGATCTTTTACTATTGCTACAATACTTGTAACTTCAGCCATTGCTCCAATACCTAAAATATGTAAAAAAAAGATGGCAAATTACATGACTCAACATGTATTTTTTGCTTATAATTTTCCATTTACCAGTATTTGAGAAAAATTGTTGCAGAGTTCCTGAGAGCTTGATTGACTGGCTGACTTATATTATAGACAGAGACACTAACAGAATAATAGAATAAGTATAACTCAGGTTCTAGGAACAAATTCATGTTTTACAGAAGAAAAACATCAGGTATATACATGGAACAGTCCAAATAAATCTTACCAGTATCCTTGCATGCCAGAGTCTTTTTGATTGGTGGGACATATGTATATCCTAAGTTAATTAGCCGTTCAACCTGCTCAGAGGTGATTGGGTGTTCCCACATTAGAGTGTTCATTGCTGGGCAGAACAGTAAAGGTTTCTTAAGATCCCATGCACGGACTATGCAGGTCTGGTAATAAGCAAAAGAATATGTTGTCAGCAATGGCTAAGTTTGCTAAGTGAGTTGAAAGTTAAAGGTTTGAACTCACCAAGAGGTTGTCGCACAAACCATTTGCCATTTTGGCCATAGTGTTGGCATCAAGTGGTGCAATAACCAAAATGTCAGCCCAACGTCGCAGCTACTGGAAAGTGATAAACATTTCTTAGATGTTTCAAGAATGTTTTGAACATGAAAACTACAGCATTTTCAAAACTATCTCAAACAAACTATTGGATTCCTCTGGTAACTTTTTTAGAAATAAAACAAAAGTTTTTACCTCAATATGCAAAACCGGATCTTGCATTGTACTCCATGCCTACCAGTATAAACAGATCACAATCATTACTTACATCAGAGAAATTTGCTGAGCCAACAACTGTGAAAAGGCAGAAAACAAAAACGTGTTTTTAAAAAGGAAGACCTTGGAACAGGAATAATTAAAATGTAGATAAAATTTCTGACTAAATGATTTCCTACTCTTAATATTTCTTGCTGTCATTTGGGGCATATGAAAGTTTTCTTTGTTATCTCTTACCAGACAGAAGGGGAGCAAATACTCCTGAAGAAAATCTCCCCTCTTTGCTAACCCTTTGGTAGATATTTCCCACATGAGATACACCAGTTCTTAAATCATATGCATGAAGCACTAAATAAATTAGATAAAGAACAATATACAAATAAATACAACATCATGATGTAACATTAAACAAAGCGGGGCTTACCTCCCATTCGTCCTTGTCACTGAAAACCTTCACAGGAATTTTGTCTTTATCAAAAAAGTGCATAGAGTGTTCTGTTCCAACAACCTGGATATTTGGCTGTTTGTATTAAGAAATAAATAGGAACAAGGAATTACTAAACTACAAATCGATACAGTGTTACGTATGTCAGCTGTTCAAGTTCTTTCGCTCTGACGAAGGGCTAACGCTCGAAACGTCAGCTTTGAAGCTCTTTACATACGGTGGACAATTTACATTTATTAACTCAGTTGATAAAACCAAATTGTCCCCCACCGACATAGCACCACTGTTTCTGTACAAATTTACCCCCTTTATTCAGCTGTTCAAGTAATTTGGTATCAAGTCAATCTGGTCCAACTTGTGTGTAGTAGAGGGGATCAAGAATTGAGCTCAACCTAATTAAGGTCAACCAATTAGTAAAGCACATGGTGACAATCAAATTCACCACATGTTATCCATGTGAATTAAAAATTGATATGTTACATGAGAAGAATGTAGATTTTGATCGGGATCAGAGCGCAAATTTCAAGGCAGTAAGTAATTTCACTCTCAGATGTTGATAATCAGTAAACAACCCTAAAGACGAGTGAGTGACATGTTTCTAGGTCCGCTTGAATGCACATCGCGAAAGATTTCAGAGATAACACAAATGTATGGTACCTTTGGTTGTAAGCGATGCAGCTCATCTACAAGTTTCGGTAACTTTATACTCGCCACGCTTCCAGTGACTCCAATCAAAATATTTTTCTCCGACTTGTTCCTCTTGTTTGGTGGAGGTCCATCGTCCTCCGCCATTTTGGATTGATATTATTATTATGGCAACTGCTGACCAATGCCTGAGCATTTGATCGGGCAATGTCGAGCCCAGGGTCATTTTTGCTCCTTGTCAGCGGTATGATCGCACAAATAATGACGCAGTGCGGAAGGGTACAGAAGGACGTGGGGGCCCTCCGGAATACAAATCCTGACTGCCTGAGGAGTGGCCAGGGTGATTAAGGCGGCAAGGGACCGAAAACTGAAACTAAGCTGATCATTAGATTCCCGACATAAGACTGACGACCTTAAATCCCGCACAAACAGCCTCTCGCTGAAACTTGAGGTTGGGGAGAAGTAGCTGTCATTGCTTTTGAATAAGGTCTAACATGTATTACCTTGTTTGGAACTCGCTACCTCTACGTATACCTTGTATGACCTGCAGAATGACATGGTAAAATCCAGCTGTTAGATTTACGCGCATTTCAAAGGTAAATCCTCTTAAATTAGTCAAGTGTTCCCGCGCTCTCTGAATATATTTCCAGAAATCATCAGTACCCTCAAATTCCAAAGAGGAGATCTTTTCTGTGCCATGGATATTCTTGAATTAGTTTTGGCTGATATAACCATGAAAACTAAACTTGCAAAGATGACTAAGCGTTCCAGTCATTGTGTGTTGCAGTTTCATGGTCTGATTATGCATTAAATTTGCGCAATTGATATTTAAATATTTATTGAGTACCTGTAACGAAGGGGAATGTAAACAACGCATTGTGAAGGAACAAGATTAGCGTGATCTTTCGCCACTGCAACGAAACTGGGAGAAATCATTCCTTTTCACAAGCTACAGAAACCAAAATTAAGAAAATTATATGTTCTTTCAGTTTCATGCCGGATAGAGCAAAACAAAATTAACAACAAGTTTTCTCCTTTTTCCTCACAAAGCGACTCTTTTTCTTTATGTCAACTACCGCTCCGTTTGTAACTCTTTCCTGTTCTTTTGCACTCCATCCTGATACAAATTTAAATAGCATTTCGTTTGCGACACATTCAAAAGCTTCATCGATGCTTTCATTTTCCTTGGCGCTTGTTTCGAAGAAAGGCATATCGTACTCGTCAGCTAGCTGTTCCCCCTCCTCGCGTTTGACAGCTCTTGGATGCTGAATGTCGCATTTGTTTCCTATCAGTAGTTTAGTGACATCTTCTTTGGCATGTTCGTCAATTTTTCGCAGCCATTTTGCAATGTTTTCAAACGAGCGCCTGCGACTTATATCGTAAATAAGCATAATTCCGGACGCGGTCCTATAATACGACACACTGATAGCATGAAATCGTTCCTGGCCTGCCGTATCCCAGATCTGTAGACGAACTTTTTTTCCTTGCACGTCAATAGTTCGTAATTTGAAATCGATTCCAATTGTAGAGATGTAGGTGTGATTGAACATATCGTCCGAAAACCGCCACATCAAACTTGTCTTTCCGACACCAGCATCTCCAAGGAGCAAGACCTTGAACATGTAGTCGCAGGGTTCTATATTTGAATTCTTTTTATACGCCATTTCGAGATCTGACAACACAGTCCGAAGGTAATCTCCTTTTCTTTTTTGATACGTACATGAGCAGGTGGCACACGCTTTTTAAGCCCAGGAATGTCTGTCATTGGCTAAAAATTATGCAAGTCGGAAGAGAAAGGCGGCATTGGTTACAAAAGTCACGCTCGAAGTAACTTGAGCCAATGAAGAGAATAAATATGGAACGTAAGATTAAACAAATTTGGACGTACATGCGACACTTTGTGTTGAGTGGGTTATTATTTAAGAATCCACTCGTTTGCATCAGCACATTTGCATTTTTATTTCACAAAAGACCTCGAGGCAACCGAAAATCCTTGTGAATTCGTTTGAAAAAAATCGTTTTGCATTGTCTTAAGACGCCATAAGTCATCAGACTACGCCAAAACAGAAAACATCTGGAATTAAATGGGCGTTTTGAATTCGTTACTTTGGTTAAACTTTCCCCCTTTATTGATATTCACTGATGCAGCTTGCAACATTCGAAAGCAGCAGGATTATTGTTGCCATGTTTATCTTTTTCAAACTTAGCACTCCGGTTTGGCTGCTCTATCGACGGGTGGCCTGATAATGTTACCCATCGGATGCTAATAGCTACTTAGTGAACGAGTGTCCACAAACTAAAACAAGATTACAATCGGGATCTGTTCGCTGCAGAGTGTTATCCTCCCGAATCACAACGAAGGGCTCGGTTAAGACTTATTAGGCGTGTATTTAATGGAAAATACATGTTGCTTTAGGGAATATGAAATGGATAAAAAACAAAACGAAATGAATAACTGGAGTTTTTGCAGTCACGCTCCCACCAGGATTGCTCAAGCTTCTCAGGTTTTTAAGAGAGACACTGGAAGCGAAATTTAGGAGGTTCTTCGTCCACTGTTGTTTTGGTTTGAGGAGTAAAAATAATGGGAGGACTTGGGGAAAACCTTTAAAGAAGAACGAGAACCAAAAACAACGAAGCCGATATTTTCTTCCCGTGGTCCAATCCACACCGCACAAACGACCCATCGGTCCTATTCATTAACACCGAAAAATAATACTTTTTATTCGCCGTAAATGGTAACACACACTTGTCAAAGGCTGTTCTTTCTCGGCTGCAACTGTCCTTTATCATACACTTTATCATGGATATACTTACTTCTAACAGATATTCATTTCGCGGAAGCTCTTATGAGCATAATGACGTTAAATCCTAGTAGCGCTGGGCTTACCTATTTTCACGGACAAACATGATTAATACACTTACACATGTCTCCATGAAGCATTCCTTGTAACTAGAAAAAGAAACATACAATTCAGTGGTAAGGAAGGTTACAAAGATGCAATCAGTCTTACAGGACAATTCTTCCTTCAGTTTTATGAGGACTTCCTGATTTTTCACTGCTATTGGCAGCTATCTTTGCATCCTTCTTCGATAAATCATGATTCTTGGCACCAACTTCCTTTCCGTCGTTTTTCTGGCTATGGTTAGGTTCACCACCCTTGTTCTCTGTTTTCTTCTCATCTTTGACAGAAACGTTTTTCTTAGACGTATCCTTGACCTCGCCATTTCGCTCCCTTATCATTTCGTCCCTGGCCTCCTTTGACTCTTTTGGATTTGACTTCTCCCCTTTTTTGGGGGAACTTTCATTTGATCCCGTCTCTTCGACAGTCTCCGTTTCATCTTTGTCACCTTGTTCGTCTTCTCTATCCTCAGCTTCGTCGTCATCGTCTTCGTCTTCCGACGACTCACTTTTCTCGAGGTCGGCTTCATCCGGAACATAGTCCGGATCTTCATCGGAAACGTAATCCTCGCTGACGTGTATAAGCTCCACTATCAAGGCACCGTCTTCGTCTTCTCTGTCGTACCTTCGCTTCCGCTCGGGAGAAACGGGGAATGGTTGAGAAGCATCGATGATTCGAGAATATTCTGCTTTAGGTTTGTAGCGACTGGATCTTGTCGGGTTTTTCTTTCGTCCAAGCCGCTCCTGTAGGGCAGGGGAAAGCAAAAGTTTTTTGCAAAATTCAAAAATGCTTAATCATGCTGAGTAATCGGGGTTCTTTTCTTCCTAATCTAAAGGAGTACACGAAGAACCACCTATACTTGAATGAATAATTTTTAACTATGAGGTGCATCTAAAGATTGGTATGCTATCGTTACTTCCAATATTGATTCATAAATATGACACTTTTGATTAATTTTACTCCAATATCTCTGATATGATAGAATGATTGGTGAACACATTTGTCTCAAACGGTTATCTTCAGAAAAGAATTTGAATTTCAATCAAAGTCTTGGATAACCAAGGCAATTAGTCTTCGGGCAAAGAGACTGAAAGGTGTTCTGCAAAATACTGTTATGACATTAGCAAGATCAGTTTGTTTTTTCCGAAAGGAGTACAACAATGTAAATGACAAACCTTTCCTTCTCCTCCTCTTCCTCCGAGGAACGACGGCAAGAAAAAAAAAGTTTTCCGTTTAGTAGCGTTCCAAACGTCCCAAAAGGCTCCGACAATTCTTCCTATCACCTATCATTGGCAAGGGTGGGTTATGAAAATTACATTTAAAAATCGATAAATCACTAACACATAAAATGAGTTAAAATCACAATCAGCACTTTTTGCTTTGTGTTGACGAGCTACTGAATTTACTCGATTCACTCTCGAAAGCGAAGAGTTTAACCTAAATTGTCGCGTCCTCGATTGAAATTAGTTTAATTTACCGATTAGAACGTATTTATACTGAATTGGTAGCTGGATTTGTTCCTTTACCGTTACGTTTTGCAGCAGGATTTGAGAGATGCCCCATGACCACGTGGCTACAGTTTTGGCGCCATCAATCGCAGCTAGAGTGACTCGACCTGGAACCGAGGCTGCCCGCGTTATAACCTAGAAGAGACACATAAAATTCAAGGAAATCAAACAGAAGATCGAGAGCACGGCTTAGAATTCGAATCATGCACTGTCATTATTGCGCCTTGTCAAATAATTATTCATTTCCTTGCCTTTTCCCCTTCACCCTTGATCACATTAACGATTCCCTGGATTCGATCGACTTTACTTTGGGAAAGCGGGGCTTCAGCAGCACCCTCCTTCATACATTTCTCTTGAGGTGGGAGGAGGTATTCAATTGCTGCTTCTGTAACAGTGAGTAAGACTTCCGCAAGATCTGACTGCTCCAGTTTCTTAGCTCCGATTGTCAAAACCTGTCAACAGAAACAAAAGACATATCAATTATAAGGTTTTACCCGGGAAGACGTGGGGTAGCGCCTACATCCTAGAATTTAATTTTCTCTTGTAAAGACAAAAATAAAATTACCCAAGCTGGAAACAATCCAGCATACCCCTGAAATAAAGACACCATTTTAAACATCGTCATAAAAAAAATCCTGTCGTACACGACCACGCCCTATAGCCCTGATTCTCCATTTTGCAATAAATTGAATTATGTGCCAAGTCGACATGCCTACCCTTGAGTGGGTGTGCAGCCCTGGAAGACGTTCTTAAATAAAGAACGTGAGATGAGAAGCTATTTAGCATGATAACAGAGTGGTAATTTACCTAAGAAAATAGCAAGTTTCGATTCATAACAATGTCATCCTCGGCCTTACTCTTATTCAAAGGTTTGACAGCCATGCACAAATGGTAAAATAAACCATTGTTGAAGGTGCAACATTGCCATTCTCAGCTCACAATTACGACCGTTTCGTACCAGATTTAGCACAAAATTTCTGCACCTTCATCGCAGATCGTATTGTCGATAATGACGTCTTGACTCAAAATTGATATTTTCCTGTAAGAGGCTTTTTACTTACTTGTTCTGTGTTGTCCTTTATTATCGGCCATTTTTTCTCCAGGAATGTCAGTCCATCACAGGCCATCGAATCAGCTTGGAAAACTGTTTGAAAATGTATTATGACCCTTCACACCCCTAAAATTGGTATGCATATTCTCCATACTGTTCTCAATACATTTCCTAAGGTGCTGACTAGGAGAATTTGTTTAACGATCAGGAGCTTTAGTTAGTGATCATTTCCTTTATTCTCGTGACCTTAAAATTTGGTCCAGAGGCGATATTGTTAGGAGAAATTAGATGCTAGTCACTCTTAGAGTCAAAGGGTTAAATTTGATGCTGCAGTCTACTCTTCAAGGTAAGGTGTTTGCAAACCCTTGCAAAATGATTGAAAAAAATCTTTATCACACTTTTCTTTGCTTCAAAGCCTCATATTTTACATATTAGGGGAAGGTGAAATTGAACTCTTGCAGAAAACATGGTAATAACTGAATTTTGCAAAGCCTAACAAAATATTACTAATTGTAATATCAAAGGAAAAGGCTCCGATAAGACTGTACCCAAATTGACTTAATTGTGTTTGAGAATCTAAGCGAGACAAAATAAACCAACCCTTCCTCATCAAATTGCACACGTCCTCTCATTAACAAAGCCCTACGATTTTACTAGCGGTCTCAGACAACCTTGACGAGCTGCAGAAATCCATCAATAAACTTACCTTTTTCTTCGAAACCTTCTTTCACTTTCCCCATCACACCAGAGGAAGGCAAAGAAGTATATGTCACCTTGGCGGCGACCACAACTGCGTTTATCGACACCTCTGCAGCGCTCAACCCGACCATCGAAACAAGACTATACTCCTTCGTACGTTCGTACATCTCAGACACTTTTTCACAAGTTGATTTTACAATCGGTAACTGAACCAGACGGTTGAAAACTTGTGGCATTTGCAAAGGTGACCTCTTGGTTTCGTGAACGCAAGCTTCTTTATCCCCTTCGCCTGCCATCTGTTGCTTCAGCAAGAGGGCGTTCACTTCGACTTTGACAATCAACGTTAAAAAATCGTTTTACATATTGGCTTTATATACATATGGTTGCATATGCACGCGGAATTTATCTTGCTATTTGGTCAGTTCCTGCAAAACGAATGAAATTAATTTAGGTGACGATAGAATATTGTTTCTTTGCTCTTCTCTTTCATGTGTGCCGCTGGAATGGACAGTTTTGCATACTTTTGGACGCGTGGAAAATATTGGAGCGAAAAAGAACCTTGCACCCACTCTATTTTCACCCCCTCCTTCCCAAAACGTAGTTCGATAAATTACAGAATTAATTTTGCACTGGGATAAAAAAAAAAAATAACAATAAAAAAAAAAATGAGGAATAACGTCACTGAGCAGTCAATCTATTTTTAAAGCTAACAATCTTTTGAGGGCCTGTGTGGTCTTAATATTAATCATATGATCAAGTGATCAAGTGATCAAGTTAGTTTAGTGAAAATATGTTTTTGACGTCATTAAAATTGAGAGTTCATGTAAATTTAGAACAAAAGAGAAAATGAACATATCAATTGTAATTTATAATTAGCCTTAATGCATTTTTTTAGAATCAGTAACTGACTTTTGGCCTGATTTCATAAGCTGAATCGAGACCCTACCGGAAGGCATGACGATCACATGTTTTCAGAAGTCATTAACGGAAGTTGCAGTGCCAGTATTAAGCCTTGAGATTTGGCAAATGCCAGTATCATGCAAACAGACTGGTGTGAAAGGTCAACGAAATTCCTACTTCGAGTGTCAAAACAATAAAGTTTTTCCATATCAGTTGCTTTTATTGAGCTTTGAACGCGTTCAAAGTCGAACTCCCGGACACAAATCCGTTCTAACATAGTACTGATAGTATTTTAGAAAATAAAAAAGCGCCGTGAAGAGCGTCTCTTGAGTGTTCATCTCTTAAGGAGGAAAAATAATTTTTTTTCAACAAAATTGAGATATAGTTCGTGAAATCATGTTTGAAGCATTGAAATGGATCGGCTTGAATTGAGGTAAATTTTTCCGTGAACTGTTATTTCCGCCGGGAATCCTCTTAACAAATGCTAACTATGGATGTTTTGAGAGGGATGTTTTTTCGCCTTGTCACGAGCCAAAAGGACAAAGGGACAAAGAAAAAATTCTGGACCTTCAGACTTTCCGATTCCACGCTCCGATGCACTACCACTAATCTTGTCATAGTTTTTAAAATTAAACTGATGATCTTCAAACTACGTTTTCGAAACCATTTTAAACGCGAAACTTTGACGATGCTTTTCAAAATCTAAACGGCTTCCTTTCCAATGTTTGTCTACTCCCCAAGAGGAAACAAATATTGGAGCGAAGAAGGAAAAACTGAAAAAAAGCTGGCATGAAGGGAAATAGTGTTTACAAAGGTAAAATTTCATCATGAGATGGGAGAACGAAAGCGTTTGTTTGTCGAAAATGGCTAATAGTATGAGTTACGTAAGCGCTTGAGCCTTTCGAACCTTTTCGAATTTCTGTTCGGTATTGCCCCAGGGCCTTGAGTTTGAACTGGAATAACAGAGGCAAAATGTTTCCGTATTGGGTATAAAATAAAGAATTGGTACCCAAAGAATGTCGCATTCTTCGCGGGACTTTTTTTTTCTAATTTTATATATGAATTTTCTGGCGGGGTATTAACGTAAGGGGCAAAGTCTCCCGTTCACCTTGAATGAACTTCAGTTGTGTTTTATGTCACGTCACACAATATTCCATCGAAGGTTCCTACACAAACCTTGTCCGTGGGAAATCTTTGTCCCAAAAAGGCAATTTTAAACGAAAGGAATTGCAAAGTACGATTGAATTGCATCAATTTTCATGTAGAGACGGGAGAGCACGGGAGAGTAAATAAAACCCAGAAGCAATGTCATTAAACTCACTGTCCTGTCACGTGAATGTCTGCGTGTCGTAACGAACTTTGTCCGTCAAGAACTCCGGAGCAGACGGTGACATAACTTATTTTATAAATATGAAACCTTCTCTGATTGGTCAGATTAGTGACGGAACGAACCTGTTTCTAAGCTTCATTGTAATTGGTCAATTTTCACTCTCTGCCCAAGAGCAAAGTCCGTACTTGAACACATTAATAAGCGTTTCGATACCTTGTCCATTAATCTTAAAGTTACTTCACATTGTGTCCTTGCGTTGTTCATACTGATAGTGCCACCCATGCAAAGTGAAGAAATGGCTGCTGAAGTCGAAAGGATGCCTGAAGCTGACAATAAGTCTTTCACGACTCGTCTGTGCGAATTGCCTGTAGCTTTAGCTGCTGTCAACCAACTCTCAGAAATTTACAGTGCGGTGAAGGAGCGCAATTGTGTCACCAGAATGGCTTTTAATGCTGGTGAAAAAACGATCGATATGGCGAATACTGCTTCTAAGCCTATAATTCAGGCAGCCAGCACTTGTTCGCTGTCTAAACCCATCGTTGGAACAGTTGAATGTGCTGGTAAGTCAGTAAAGACTGGTTTCTCTTTCGTAGAAATTTATAGGGTTTAGGCTAATAAAATCCGTCGCTTTACACGAATGTCATATTTTAATAACGCTGTTGTGCAATTTGTGAATTGATAAATTGCGGTTTTCATAAATTTGGCGTTTGTCGTAGTTTGTGGTCAGAGTAATTTGTACTACGTCCTAAATATATGTGAACTTTGACCAGAACACTGTTTAGGTTTATAGTTGTAGTTTGCCTTTTAGTGTTAACTTGTATTTCTCTCGTGGTTTTGTTCATTGTTTCAAAATAATTCAATTGTTTGAAATGCTGTTTTAGGTAAGGCTTGTGGCGCGACGTTTTATTATGCAAATCATTACATCATTAAGATACGTGTTGAACGTCACGAGCTTTTGGAAGCAACGATGTGAAAAAATAAATTATTTCTGTCAATACAATTGATTTTTAAGGAGACATTTCTAAATATGAATCGACCAACATTCACTCTAGTAGTAAGTGTCAATTATTTGCTTCAGCCAACACAACTTTGCCAAATTCATTTTCACACAAAAAGATAGTTGAAGTGAATAGTGAACACAGCTGGGCAACTTCTTCACAACTCACTGAACCACCGTTGTTGTTTTGACCTGTTATTACAATCGTGGTGACAAGGTAGAGGTGGCTCTACAAGATGTTTGGTGGTAGTTCTTAGGACAAATTAATAATAATAACAATAATAATAATAATAAAGTTTTTTGGCACCTTTAGGAAACTTGATAAGCTTACATTACTATATAGAAAAAATAAATTAGTCAAAATCTACAAATTTTTTCTTACAACAGTAATAAATAAAATAAATGAAATAATTAAGAATTAGGTGACATGAAAGCTAGGTATATTTCCATGTAAAATAAATCAAAAATAAAATTTCTGAAACAGAATGTTTTGAGGGGAGATTTAAAAGATGAAAGAGATTTTTTAACAGAATCTAGTAGACTGTTCCATAATATAGGTGGGGAGAAAGAGAAGGCTTGTTTTCTATATGTCACAGAGTTCACAGTAGGGACAGTAAATGTAGTTTAGAGGATGAGCGTAGGCTTTGTTGCAGGTGGTATTGTTGTAGGAGGGACGACAAGCAGGCTGTAACTTGTTATTTATTTCTTTTATTTCTTTTCTTTGTCACCCAGCTGCAACCATTGATCGTATGGCATCAGGAACACTGGCCATAGTAGAAGAGAAGTGTCCCATTATAACCAAAACACCCACTGAGGTATTGCTCTTCAAATGTAGAATACACAAGAACTGCTGTACACTTAAAACCCTTTATTTGTGGTATGAAGAAGAAGTTGACTGCAAATTCCTAGACAGGGCAGCCAACTGTCTCATCGTCATCTTTGCTGAAAGCATGTAATTGATATTGACCATCAGACTTGCATGTTTACATTTATCGGTGAACATCAAGACAATTTTTTCCCAAAATCAAACGAGTTTAGTTTTACTTATGACATGGGAAGCCTTTGAGCTCCTAGGGTGGTATTCCAGAGGCATGCTCAATTCATGGTCATCACATGTTTTGTGTTGGACTTAAGTTGATCCTTTCCACCATAATATTAGTATGTATGTTCTCCATACATTTCTTAAGGTACAAAAATAATTTTTTCAACAATTAAGAGTTTTGTTAGTTTTTACTATTTTCTTCATTCTTGTAACCATAATGTATGATCTAGGGATGATATTGTGAGGAAAAATTAGATGCTAGTCACTCTTATGGGTCAATAGATAGTTCATTCATGCCTAGTCAAGTTTGTTTGTTTTGTTATCTTGAGAAAGTTGACTTTGATTTCATAGTTCACTGAGGAATAATGAAAAAGTGCCAGTTACAAATCATTGCTGACAAAATTGAAGTCAATATGCTTGCACTCAATCCACTGAATACAATACAATTGCTTGAGTGTAATTGAAAAGGAAAAGGAAAAACAGTTTTGGTTTTGATGCACAAGTGTAGCTCTGTTTCAAGGGCATGATCATGTTTTATCTTGGTCAATTTGGTATGAAAGTTGTGTAATTTTAATTAGTGTCCTACAATAATCATAAGTCTGAATGTGGCAAATACATATATAACTTGTTTTTAAATCATTTTGAAAGAGATATGTAATTTTTTCTCAAACAACCTATTGTTATTGTAGATCAAGACCTCTGTTGCTGATACTGCCACGGAGTACTTTGACAAAGTACAGAAAAGCTGCATGGTAAAGATGTTGGTGACTAAGACTGAGCAAGCCTTGGAGTTTGGTGAATTGTTTACTGAACTAGCATTGCCAACAGATGGTAACTGTGGAGAAGACATGAATGATTTGGAGTCCGAATTTGAAGATGCTTCTAAAGGAGTTATGACGAGAGCCTGCAAACTGAAGGAGAGGTTGACACGCAGAGGGAAAAGAAAACTGCTGTCCTACAGACCTGTAAAAATGAGTGTTGATGCGGTATGTGATAGGTTATGGATCTGATCATTTTCATTTTAGGGTGCTTAAATTTTGCTTAAATGATATTTTTTAAAAACTATTAAAAAAAAATTCTGAAATCTTACTAATTAGTTTTCAGTAATTTGCACTGATTGTTTTGTACATTGTCAGAAATTACTGATAGTCTATGGCAATTGGTGGTCATTAAGTGTTGGTTTTTTAACTATGCACAACTTTTTGGTCACAAAACAATAGGACAATTATAATCTGTAGTTGTATAAATAGCTAATATTACTTTAACTAAATAATCCTTGGGCTAGTTTCTTACAGAGTGAACCTATCATTTTCTCTTAAACAGTGTGCGGGTGTGCAAGAATGCACAAGTGAGTTGCTTGAAAAATCAACTGATGCTGGCAAGAAGGTTTTCAAGGCAACCATGTACATCCCAAACATGGCTCTTGGTCTGACTGGTGAAGTGATTGTCTCGGCAAAGGAATTGGTTTTTTCTCTCACGCAGGTAAACTTGTGAGCTCAAGCTTTGTTGTACTGTGTTTAGGCTAAAAAAAAGTCCTCATTTTGTGTTATTTAGAACTTTTTAGTCAGTCTAATTTTTTAAAAAATTTTGTTTATTGAAAACAGACAACTTTTGCCATCAAACTACTTGTTCAAGTAAATAATAAATTGATGGCAATTGCTGGTTGTAGTCCCTTGTGTAGCCCAAGTTAAGCAACTATGTATTTCCACTTTTAGGCCCATCCTGTGAACGAAATGCCTGCTACTGTGACAGGTTTAATGACAAAGGTGGTTCAACCTATCTGTGATGCAAAAGATAAACTTTCTGGCTACGTTTTTGTTCCTCCACATGTGATGACTGGTTACCTCCTCACTTCTCGCCCTGTCCAGTGGATCATACCCCATATCGTTGCGGTGGAAGACCTACAGAAAATGCAAATCTTGGTCGGTGAAAATGAGGACTCAGCAGAATCAGAGGAAAATGAGAAAGATTCCTCTTGAATTTATTTAGACTCAATCTATAAAAAAATATGTTTAGTTATTAAGCACACAGTATCTATTTGAAAAGTAGTATTCATCCAGAAATATTGTATTCATTTATTTGCAATATAGTATTCATCTTTTTGGAATGAAGTCTTCAAAAGCTGAAATAATGTAAGCCAATTATTAGTGACTATATTTCATTTTTTCATTTCAAAGGCCCATTTCTTTGGTTACCAACTATTTTTTATAACTCATTTTTAATTCCGCTGAATTGTTGAATTTCACATTTGGTAGTTTCCTATCAGCCTGCAAATGAAAATGAGCAAATGATTGAAATTTTCCTTCTTTCCAGACTAAAGTACTTACAGCCATTAAGTGTTTTAATCAGTTTTACTAAAATAGCATTAAGTTGAAAAAATTGTTTCAGAAAATTTTTTTAGTTTTCACATCTTGATTAAGTTGGTGATGGTAATGATAATATGAAGACATTGTTTTACAAGAAAACAAATATTTACAATCTTAACATTAAGAGTCAGTGAGTGTAGTGAAAGAGCATAAATAAATTTTGTATTGTAACCATTTGCTTTGTTAGACGTTTTTATCTAGCTGGAGAATGTTTGACGTCTTTCTGTAAAGGGTTGTTGTGTTTTGCTTGTCTGAGATATATACCTATCCTCTGTGGTTGGATTTCATTTTCCAAGTTTCAGCACCATGATTTTTCGAATTACCAACTGTGAAGTATCCTTCAGAAAATACGAAAAAACGCTCCTCTCTCTTTCTCACCCCCTTCGACTTGCACTTGCTTCAGTTTGCCTGGGAATAATGAGAGAAACGATACCTGCAGTCTAGCTGTTGGGGGAAATGTACACAAATGAAAAAAATTGCGGCAACTTGCAAAAGAGGATCTTCCCATCTAACAACCTCAAAGGTCTCCGAAACTAGCTTTGGTTATACTTACCTCGTGCATAGTAGTTATCTTGCATTAGGTGGACTGTTAAGTGCCATTCATGATGGCCCTCGCAAAACTTTGTTTGCTTCTCTACGAAGTTGTCACAGTTAACATTTCTTGTTATTCTGCCAACAACTCGATTATCTACAGAGGTGGAAGTGAAGAGTAGTTAAAAGTACCCGAGAAATAATTCCTGTCTAGCCACTCCCATGAGAGAATTAGGCACGTGTCCAATGAAGACTCAAACCATGATACACCACTCCAGGGAACACGTTCCCTCACCGAAAAATCCAACCACCACCGCTTAACGACAAATTTTTAAGACTTAACTGAAATGTCTGTACGACGTGTTTTTATTAAATTTGTCAACGAAAGGTTTGCAGTGTAGTTCAAGATGTTATTGGAGAGCGCTTGGCACTTCTCAGAATCATTCCAGATTTTGCTGAAGCTGGGCTCTCCCCAGTCCTCCTACCGCTCTTGAAGGAGTGGTCACTTAGTCAGATCTAAAAACAGTCTTATATCGTTTCATCGGTGTGAGCACATCATTTACAATCAATTGTGTTTTAATCTAGAGTTTGTGTCTTTACTGGTGGGACATCGGCCATTTATCGAGAAAAATGTGTACTGAAGTAGAAAACAAGTCTTTCACGACTCGTCTGTGGGAACTTCCTGTGGCACTGGCGGCAGTTGATCAACTATCACAAATTTACAATGCTGTGAAGGAGCGAAATTGTGTCACAAGGATGGCTTGTAATGCCGGTGAAAAAACGATCGATATGGCGAATTCTGCCACTAAACCTATAATTCAGGCGGCCAGCACTTGCTCGCTGTCGAAACCCATCGTTGGAACAGTTGAATGTGCTGGTAAGTTTAAAATTTTTCCCATTCGATGACGTGTTTACGGAAGTACGACGCTTACGAAATGTTTATTTGACATGTATTCCAGTTTGTGATAGCTTTCTCGTTTACTGTTTATTGTACCTTAATGTACTTGTACCTTAATGTACTTGCTCCTTTGTCAACCATGATTGTGCTAGACTTCTGCCTTAATAGTAATTCCTCCTCGCTTTATTTTGTAATGTAATCGTATTTCCCTCGAAGGAAACTGTTCGTGAGTGGACTTTGGCCAGGGTACTTTGACCTTTTTCTGTTCTGAGTAACGATTTCTGTTTATCGCTTCATTTATTTACTTCAGTGATTTTGAACTTTAATTGTGGTTCAACTAATTATTTTTGTCGAGTGTTGTAATAACGACGAAGTAGGTTCAGAACAAAAGAATTGTTATTGTACAATGGAAAGTCGATTACCGAAGTTAAGCGAAGAAAGGGTGGTTGTTTAACGAACGTTCCGCTAGAAAGCTTGTGTAGTGTTCAATTCTAAATTATGAATCCGTTTTAACTATCCATGCTTGGATCCTCTCCATATCCTATAGATCCTCTATCTATATCGAGCACAATCTCTTTTTTGGCTTCTTTCTGCGCATAATTTTTTTTCTTTTGGAGGGAGGGATTTTTCCGTGAATGATTTGTTTTATTCTCCATGAAACCTCTCAACTTCAACCCTGACCTTCCCTCCCTGCAGAGAGCTTTTCGTGATCAATCACCTGTGAATTATTTTTCTTTTTGAATTCAAAATAATTATTTTTTTTTAATCATAGCTGCAACCATTGACCGTGTGGCATCAGGAACATTAGCCATAGTCGAAGAGAAGTGTCCCATCATGACCAAAACACCCACAGAGGTATAACTCCTTGACTCTGTGTCTTCATTACTTGAGGGTTACTTCAAATATTTATAAGCTCGATTTCTTGGACATAGTTCTAGGGGATCCTTGTGCAGTTAGATCTTAAAGCGTGCAGCAGGCTGACAAGAATGAATTACAATTTTTCTCTCTCAAGTTTTGAGATGCATCGGTTATGTTGAATGAATATTGATCAACATTGTCTTTTAGAATGTACCCACTCAGTGGGTGAATTGTTGATTTTGCTGGGGCCAATTTGTCTTAAAAAAAATGTTTGGCTCTTGAGAGGCATCAGATCATCAGATATATTGGCTTGATGCAATCATAGACAGTTTATTCATGTGATGACATTTTTTTTTTGTTGTGTTTTGATCTCAACAAAGGAACTTTGATTTGATATGTTGCACTGAGGAAAACAATTTTTGTGACTTGGAGATTAACTATTAATGGTTGTTGAAGGTTCTATTATAATGAAGTGGGTTATTAGCACTTTAAAGTTGCCTGGTATTGTGATTTTGAATTGAAAGAGACAAAATGGTGTCATTATGCATGAAGGAAATTTTGGAATATGAGTAAACCCTATTTGCTTGAAATCTATAACACACTAAAAACTGCTATGTAGAAATCTTCTTTGTGTTATTGTTGTGATTGGTTAAATGATAATTTTCCTAGATCAAGACTACTGTGGCTGATACTGCCACAGAGTACTACAGCAAAGTACAAAACAGCTGTGTTGTGCAGATGTTGGCTGCCAAGACAGAGGAAGTCTTGGATTATAGTGAGTTGATTGCTGAAATGGCATTGCCAACTGACAGCAACAATGAAGAGGACAAGAAAGAACTGGAGAGAGCTGATGACGTTGCCAGCAAAGGAGCTTTATTGAGGGCTGTAACCCTTAAGAACATGGTGACACGTAGAGGAAAGAAGAAACTGATGACTTTCAGGCCTGTGAAGATCAGTGTTGATGTGGTATGTAACAGGTTTTAAATATGATCACTTAGTGCTCGGTAGAAACCTGTTTGCCAGTTACTAATGGAGTGAGTTTGTTTATTACACTTTAACAGGTGACATGTTTACAGGGACATGTGAATGACTTACTAGGTAAATCATCTGATTGCAGCAAGAAAGTCTATAAGGCATCCATGTACATCCCAAACTTGGCTCTCGGTCTTTCTGGTGAAGTGATTGTCTGTACAAAGGACCTAGTTTTTGCTCTTAATCAGGTAAATATGTGGGCTACTCTGATATGTTTGGACTTAAATATTCTTGGCAGTGCTGTATTTTCCATCAGAAAACAAAATAAACTGTTTTAATTTTGACAAATGCATCACACTATTCAACACTGGATTCAACCCCATGAAGTGCAGGCTATTGAGTGAGGTACAAAGAAGAATTATTGTGAAAAACAAACTACTTTAAAGTCTTCAATTTCTGCCTCTAGTAAGTCCCATTAGCTCAACTAAAATATATTTTTGGAAGAAAAGAAAAACCAATCAGGAAAAGTCCAACCATTTAGGAAACCTTTGTTTGCTTTGCTGGTTTATTTTTTGCAGAAACTTTAAGAATACATCTTGATGTGATGAACTTTGGCCAGTTTTTTGTGTGGCTTGCATCCAAACAAAAGGAACATTCTGAAATATAGTACCAGACAAACATTTATTGCTTCTTTCAGGCTCACTCAATAAAGGATATGCCCTCTTGTGTGGCCAATGTGGTGGTCAAGGCCATTCAGCCACTCTCTGATGTTACAGACAAACTGGCTGGCTATGTATTTGTCCCTCCACAAGTTATGACTGAGTACCTTCTGACATCTCGCCCAGTTCAGTGGATTCTCCCTGAAATTGTCCCAGTTCAAGACTTGATCACCAAAATGGATATCACCATGGAAGAGATTGAAGACACAACTGAGTCAGAGGAATTCGAAAATTTGGAAGACTCTTCATAAATTTTAAAAATTTCCTTCTTTATTAATATATTTTCCTTTTAAAGAAGTCGCAACTATTTTATCTCTTTTTAATTAATCAACTACTGTAAATTAATGTATATTAGGGTCAGGTATAAGTAAGTGTCCTGAAGTTTTTGAGGAGGAAAGGCTCACATTCACAAAAGCTCATGTGGTTTATATTTTTACTGTAAAATTCACAACACTGTTTCATTGCAGATTTGATCAGAGAACTAGATATATTTGCAAAGACTAGTGACTGAAAATTAAAAAAGCAATACATCATTTTCTTTCTTTGAAAATTGTAAAGATTTTAACTTTGTTTTTAAACTTCAAAGTCAATGGAAATCATAATTATGGCCTGTGACATTTTATGAATTATTTTACACAACAAATAGTTTGTAGTGGTTGTTTCTTGGTGTACATTGTAAAATTGATTTTGCAAGGGTCAGGAATTGAAGCATGGGTGTCTGTGTGGCCACAATGAGAAAAAGTTGATATCAAATGCATCTGAATGATTAGACTGTGTAATCAAATGTTACTCTGGAATTAAAAAAATTTACTTTATATAATCATAATATATCAGAGACTTCCATAAATAAAGGGATGTTATGTTATTTAGTCTAAATGGTAAAATATGAACAGTTGTTCAATAAAAACAGTCCTTGTTATGTTATTATGGAATTTTTTCTGTTGTGGGAAAATCGTAGCAACAGCTGATTTCCTGTTGAATCAAGTTCAAAACATTGGGCATAAATCTTAAACTGCACACTGAGTACACAAAGAAACTGATCCTTTCATTCTTGAGATCTAAGTAACAATTCCCCACAATGCTTGCCATTCACCTTTAACTTTATTAATTTTAGCTCAGAAAAATTGCTAAGGAACAATTTTTTATTTGATTATTGTCTTTCATTCCACACCTCTCTGCTGTGAAATGTATTGATGCTGGAGAAATTCCTTTTCAGTCGCCGGGGTGAAAGGGAAAAATTAACTAAAAGTGCTTAGCTTTCAGCTTTGACACAGTGTCATAGTTCCAGCAGAAGTTCTTAAATTTTGCTTGAAACAAGTTGTGTGGTTGAACTTGGCATCTCATGGTGACTTTTTGCCATACTTGATCTCTTGTGTTGATGTTATAAGTTTGTGTAATGCTGCATCTGAGCGCCACCTTAAAATTGGTAGAAAGTCGAACCTGATCAACAATGTTAAACTGAAATGGAATGGTGCCAGAAAGAACTCATTTGCCAGATCCAGTATTTTAAATAGCAAGTTGTCTTCTTTAGTTGGTAGTCTCTGGGGAGTTTCACCTTCCAAGAGAAGGTGTCCCAAGAATTGAAGCACCAGGCATAAACTGATGACAATGCCAGCCTGGAAAGTTGTTACGCCAGTGTGTATATATACAGCGTAGTATGCCAAGACATTGTACAGAATGGAATATACAAACTAAGAAATGAACATAAACAAAGAGAACATTAATTTAATTCATGTAGATGTGTTTATGAACAAGGATGATTTAACATGAAGTCTTATTTACATCATTTTACTTTCCTGTAATGCAATATAAAGGCCCATCTATTCGTGACTCACAACAGTGATCACTCATATTTTGGCATGAACAGTTACAAATGTTTATTTCATTATCTGTAAAGTGCAAGAAAGTTAATCCTTTTTGTCAATGTTAAAATTTTAAAGAAGCATATTGAGCCCTTGGCAAGGAGCTGCAGTGTACTCTATGATCCACTCAAATTAAAAAGAGTGTATGGGTGTGAAAGAGAAAAATTAACTTTCATATTAGGGATATATATCCATATCCATCCTGGAGGCATTCAAAAGCTAAATTTTTCAAAGGAAAGAATGAAACTCAAATAGAATCTCTAGGGGTCTTGGGTTGGGGATGTAAAAGCAGTGATCTTTGTTATAGATGACTTAAAACTTAAACTTATGACATTTACAACAGTAGCACTTACCCCCATTGGAGGCTCTTGTGCAATACACAGGAGACATTTCAAAATAATAAGTAACAACTGGAGAGAGATGGGTAGAATATTGCGTCCAATACATAGTATAGCCCAAGCCTTGGGCCAAGATGTCACAACATGAAGTATAACATTCCTATACAAATAAGAAATTGAGGTTGAGTCAAAGATTCATCAGTTAGTGGGCAATCTGTTGGTTAGTTGCAGATTTCTAGCATATAATTTATTTACTTAATGTGTATTTATTATTTTAACTGATGATCAATTTCCAACAATCACTTGAGTCACTGTTTGAGGCCAATGAATGAAAGATAGATGATTACTAATTAACTTTCCAGCTTGTAAATATGTGGGTATATCATTGACAAGAATATACCAATTCTATTTTGTTGAACAAGGAACTTGGGAAGATATCTGTATAAAATCAAACTCTCCTAAAACAAAGCCGTATTCCTAAAGGCAATCCACTTTTTTGTCATTGTTTTTTTTTATCCAAGAACTGCATGCATAATGAAGTATGGGGATGTGCGGAAATCTTGCCAGGAAGGGGCGCAAGGAGGAAATAGTGGCTCGTTTAATAAAAATCTTTGTAAGCAAGAATTAGGGAGCAGTAAACCAGGGTTAGCAAATTAACAATCCTCGGGGTCATGATCAGAATGAAGGTTACAACAAGAGTTACATAAAATGATCTTGAGAATTATGAATGGTTTTTCTAATTAACGTGTAGATTTGACGAAACATGACAATGTTTGAATTTAAATCAAATTTGGGTTTAGAAGATCCTCTAAAAAGGACGCGATCGTGAGGAACATTCCTAATGAGGATGGAATCGTCTAACTTAGTTTGAGAAAAACCATTCAATCGATCTGTCAGTGTCTCTTCGATCGCCACTTACCAAAGTTTCTTGTGTGAAAAGCGTTTGGTAGCAGTTTGCAGGGAACTGTCAATAAAGTAACCAAATCCCAAATTCAAAGACTTAGACATCTTCGCGTTTCTCTGCCTTGGAGGCGATGAATATTCGACGTGCCTTGGTGAAACTCGACCGAAAATCACACGTAGACGAGTAGAAATGAACAACCACTAAGTCACGCAATACGTGACGAGTTTGTCACGCCTTAGTTATATTTCTAATTATTTGGAGGAAATTTGTAAGGAAGTAATTTCCGCAACGAGCTTATCTGGTTTGGCCGGGGGAGATTTTAGAAAATGATAATAAAATGTCGATGAATCTGGCTACTATATCGATTGTAAATGTGCTTCCAACCAGGCCACAAAGATCTTTGGTTTTCAAGGAGTGGTCGCTAAGTCCTTGAAAGAAGAAAAATGTTTATTATTCCTTTGTTTGGTTCATCGAGGAATTCCTCTTTTACCTCTGTGCAGCAGGTATGTACTGTTGTTTACATATTTGATCAGGTTATATTTTCCTAGCGACAGAGGAAGCCTGTTTTAATAGGAAACTGAATTATGCACCATTTACATGCATTTGAACACAGTTTCCGAGAAGACACTTTCTGTTAAAGAAGTACATTAAATTAAGGAAAAAATGGCCCTCAGCATTTTCATGGAGTACTTTTGATAAATGTTTTCTTACTACTCACTACACAGAAGCTGTAAAGAATAGCTCTTGTGTTTCCATCCAGGTCAAATGAAATATTTCTGATTGGAAGTAATTTTTGTCCTTAAAATATTCAAGATGGAAAATACTCAATTTTGTTTTTCGATAATTTATGGTTTACTGTTTTTACCGCTTGAAGTTTTATTGCAGCAGAGGAGTTTCCCCAAGCAAAGTACTTCAGATAGACAAAAGAAAGAATTCAGTATGGAGCCTTGTAGGGAAAATGATGATTTCTCAGTGGCTACCAACATAAATATACCTCTTGCTATAGATTCTAATTCTGAGAACGGGTCTGCCACAGAGGAAATCAGAACTGAAGTGGATCACAATTCTCCAAAGCAGTTTGAGCCTGATTCTAATCCTTTAAAGCCAAACAAGTCTCACAATGCAAGTAACAGAGAGAAGCAAGTACTAGCTGTCTGTGTACCTCGATTTGTTCAAAATAGTAGAATTGTGATCATCTTTATTGATGCATGCCAGGCAGTTTTAAAGATCTGGGGGTCGTACAGTAATTTGCAGCACTTGTTGAGAAAGCATGGAATCAACACACATAGATTCAGCCAATCAGAATTGAGTAAATTAAAGAGCATGGGGGCAGTGGACATGCAGGTGAAACTATGCTCATTTATCAGTGACAAAGATTTTCATCAAATACTTATGAAGTATGATGAAATTTGCAACACAGATAAAGCCAAGTTTATACACTTTTTGACTCCAGTTGAAATCAGTGATAACCATTCAGGCTCTGCAAATGTTCAAGGTGTGCAGAGCAAGACTGGAAACGATAAAAATTCCAACATCACTTGGCCATCACAAAATGCCATTTCCTCATTGCATAGGATTCATGTATATATGATCGAAAACCAGGAAGTTATAACCTTATCTGAATTAAATTCCTTGTTTGTGCATTTTGAGAGGCCAGACCTTTCACTCCAAGTTCTATCAACCTTAGAAATAACTGTCAGTATGTTTATGTCCAATAAGCTGGAGAGAGTAGGAATTCCCACTGCCATTACTGATGGTGACTGTACAAGATTGTTAATTAATAAGAAGGATTTTGATAGAATTCTGCAATACACTACAGCTTTCCTCAAGCAAAATCCACCAAAAATTGTATGGATACATTTAAATGAATCACATTTACTTAGCAAGGGACAAGAGTCACAAAGATCAAACAGTGTTGCAGGGTATGACAAGCCTGAGGCTGTTGATTCATTGAATAAATCTGGTGATTGTATTGAGAATTTCAACTTGAATGCCTGTCAAAGTGAAATCAGTGCTAAAGCTTACAGTGCTAGCTTGCAAAGTGGCCTGGGTAAGAAAGATGAAATGGATGATTTGTCAGATATGCTGCATGTTGTGCCACAAAGTGGAAGTCCCCCAATGTCACAAGGAGGTGGTACAAATAGATGCAGATATGTAATTCGTACCTGTTTTGTTAATGATGAGGTTGTTGTTTGCATTCCTGATCTTCAAAAGGCTGTTATTGACATCTTTAAACAGTGTGCGCAAGTGGGAAATTATATGCACCGCCTTAACATTCCAACAAAAAGGTTTGAACGAGCTTTCTTGCAGCGGCTAAAATCACACAATATTCTGAGTTCGAGAGCAAAACTGTGCACCTACATCACCAAGGCTGATGCTGAAAGGTTATTGCACATGTACCATGTAAATCATTGTGACAATGGAGACAAAATTCTACAAAATATTGAATGGAGTGAGCCAATCAATTTAGAAGATGCAGTCAACAATGTCTGCGGAGACAGTCAAAGGCATCTGGTTGAACATGGTGGCCAAGAAACTTTGAAAATTCCTTTGTTCATTGTAAATGATCAGATTGTTGTGTCAATGCCTGATGTTCACAAAGTTGTGCAGCTTTTGAACGGCCAAAGTGTCCAGTTGCAGTACAATCTTCAGAAGTTAGGAATTGTCAAGTATAAGTATCCTTACAATGACATTTGTCAACTGAAAGTTCTGACCCAGATGAAAAGGCCAAGTTTGTGCACATACATCACTAAGTCAGATGTTGATAAGGTGTTGAAGTTTTACATCACACCAGAAAATGAAACCAGGTTGCGACTGATTGAGTGGCAGACTCCAATAGCAGTGGAAAGTGTGGCCTGCAGCTCAGCATCTAGTGGAATTTCAAGTGTAGATGCTGAGTCCATCAGCACAGAGAACAATGATGTAAATCCTGCAGATGGTGAGACATGTGACATGTATTCCTTTTCAGATCTTTTCAAAGCCTTTGTCAGTGATGACTCAGAATCTGTGGATAGCTTTAATGATGATGATGATGACGACTTGCCAGAGACATTGTTCCACCCCTCATTGCCATCACCATCATCTAGGGCTGGCACCACCAATCCTTTACAGTCTACTCAAATCACTTTCTACACAAGTGATAAGGTGAATTCTCCTAGTGATCAGTTACATCCAATTAAACCATTGTTCTCAAACAATCAGTTGCCACCATTACATCTTCCTGGCAGACATGATAGAGATGTCAACCAAGTAGGACTGGATGTCAATCAAAGAAGTCAGGTCAATGTCATGGATATGACAAGATGTTGGAGCTGTGACACTCCATCTTGTACAAAGATGCATCCAAGCAACATCCTAGGAAATAGTACTGTCACAACTTGTAAAAGTATTCATTCAAAAATTTCAAGTGATGGTGGAGCAAGCCAGACTCTTCCAGGTACTTCAGTAAAGTTTACAAACTATGGTAAGCCCTCTGGATAAATTATTAGACAGTGTAACTGTATGTAATTGCTCAGTTGTCTGCTTGTCTATCTTTTTGCCTTCATATTATTCCTTTGTTTGTCTGTCTCACTTTCTGCTCATTTAGCAATGGAATGGTTGGTTGTTTTCCAGGGATGAGTTAGCCTCCATCTTTTTGTAAGCCTATCAGCTTAGTTAGGATTTGATTGGTTGCTCGCTTGCCAAGAGTTTGTGTGTTTGTGTCTTTCTGTTAGTCTGAATAAAGGGGGTAAGTTTCTAAACAAACTGTGGTGCTACCTTGCTTGGGAGTATTATGAGAGAATTTGGTTTTATCAACTGAATTGATAACGTAAGTTGGCCACCATAAAGAGGAACTCTTTCCAATGGCCAATCTATGTTATCAACTCAGAGTCAGTAAAACCAATTTTCTGTCATTCAATCTCATCTGTTCTTTAGCTATGAAGGCCTACTTCTTTCCTTTTTTGCTGTGTACCTGCCTTTTGGTGTGACTCTGTTAATCTGTTGGTCTGTTTCTTTCTGACTGCCTGCTTGTCAACCCTTCAGCTCACTTTGTAATCAGTTGCTTGGCTGTTGTGTTGGTCCTTTGTGTGTCTGTGGAGATGTGCTTTCCTGGTTTTTTTTCCATCCCTGTTTACTTAGTGTGTTAGTGTGGTAAAGGAAAGCATTGTAAATATTAATGTTAAAATTTTTTTCCAGACTGTAGCCATCATAGCTGCAAAAGAACCAGGGAGGTTTTAGTCAGTGATGGTGCATGGATGGAACAGTTGGCTAAAAAACACAGGGGTAATTTGAAACCTGTACGGCTGTCTTAAGTTGTAATATCTTAATTTTATAACAGTTCAGGCAGATACATTGTACTTGATCAATGCTTAAAAACATTCTTCTTGATTTTGCAGCAGACCACAATGACCTTCTGAAAACCTTGCAGCGCAAAGAAACAGAACTAAACATTTTATATGGTAAATGATATAAGAATTCCTTACCCAGAAAACGTTGCAAGCAAAAGGAAATTGATCAGCCCTTGAATAGACCCAAAATTGTTCTCTAATAAAGGAGGCTAGATTAAGGGAAGGAAGGGAAAAATTGAAAAATTTTTACTGATCAATTACAGACTTTTTTTTAAAGAATATTTCAGGCTATAGAAGACTAAAAATTGATCTTCTTTGATTTAGCTTGCTGAAGTAAATAATGTTGAATGTTGTAATTCTGCTTTTCTTAAGACGCATATCAGGAACAAATAAAGCGGGAGAGGAAGCAAAGGCTGGCAGTGCAGCGAGAATTGGACCAAGTGAAGAGTACGTACTCGATATTGATCATATTAAACTGAGAAAGAAATCTGCGTTCCTTTCCTTGCGCGTCTCGCACCCGCTTCGCGCATTTCTTAGGCTTGTTACTTAGTTCTTTTTTTACGATGTTAAAATTGACAGCTTTTTTGTTTGGTCTGGGCAGATTCCAATGCGGAACTGCTACAAAACATCGAAAGAAAGGAAGTAGAAATGAAGATTTTGCACGGTAAGCTGGTGTCTTCTCCAGGCTCTTTTCTTTACAACAATCTAGAATAACAGTTTTACTTCGAAGGATCTTTATGATATATTTATTTGCTTTTCGCTTCCAGAATCTGTGTGACAGTGTCGAGGGAATGAGAAAATGTCTCCCAAGATCACCAAAGTGTTAAAGACTTAGGCCCAGTTGTTCAAAGGCGGATAAGGCCATCCAGCGGATAAGTGTTATCAAAACGTATTGTGTTATCTACCGGATAGAGATTTATCCAGTGGATGGCGTAATCTTCCCTTAGAAGAACCGGGGCCTGAAATAAGCCTTCTTTACGTTAGGCACTAGCAGTATTTTCAATACAAATCCGATTCTCGATAAAACCGGTCTTTGTTTAGTTTTCTTCAAATTAGTTTAAGTTCTTTGATTCAATTGTTGTTTCAGATTCATACAAGCTGCAGATGGATTTGGAGAAAAAGAAGAGGGAACATCTTGAGATTGAACTTCGTAATCTTCGAGGTAAAATGTTTAGAGTATCACTTATGTTTTGCTAATGAAGCGAACACACTGAGTCAAGCAGAAGCAAGCAGAATAGCTCTCCTTTAATCCCTAAAACGGTTCGCACGCCGCCATATTTAAGCTTAATGATCCAACTTTTTTTCTGCTTGGCGGCTTGCTTTCGCCTGAAGGACATCAGCTAGGATCAGTAGCGCCATCTCAAAACCTGTGTCACACTGTCACATATCGTCGCATCCTCAACTATGTTTTTGTTCTCTTTGATAGCTGGTGAAGCACGGTTCAACATTGTTCATGTGAAACAAGAACCTCTGTAGTGAAACGAATGATATCAAGCTTACTGCAAAGTCAGATGTGGTGGCATCCCTCCAAGTTGACTTAGCTAAATATAACAGCAAACCAGCTCCACAACAAAGAGAGTTACAAGAGTGACCACACTGAATATATAAACTTTACATACTGGAGTTCATTTATTAATTTATTGCCAGCTTTCGAATTCTCTCATGCCTTGACATCAGCCATAAAGTGTTTAACTCAATTGATATAAAGAGCTTGGAAAACAACTCTTCTTGTCTTGTGTCGTTTCACTTCTGTGTTCTTTCATTCTCGCAATTGTCGCTTTCTTGCCTGCCACGTACATTTATTACTTTTGATCTTTCTCCCTATCTATTGCTTGCTTACTTTCTGTAATCCTTGACAAAAGTTCATTACGTCCTTGAAATAAGAGCGTTGCTTGTGAGGAGCACTGAACTTCAAGCCTCGTGAAACACGCTGTTTCTCCTTTTCTCGGGGACGATTTGCCTTTCGTTATGACAGGAGTTGGTCAAGCTTCCAGTTCGTTGCTATTTTAAAGGGAGGAGGTTTTGGTCTTTGCAGTTCATCTGCAGGTAGAAATAACGGTAGTGATTTTTAAAATGATCCAAGATTGTTTTAGGCTTTTTTTTAGGGACAGATCGAAACATTTTAAAGATTACAGCGCCCGTGCTTGGTGCCGTTTTTACATTCCCGGGGGTAAGTGAAAATTTTCCGCGCTTCACGCAATAGTCAATTGTGTATTTTGGCACAAAGCATATTCAGGCCATCTTCAGGATTTCTAGTATTTAAAATTGTTTAAAATGTTTAAAATTAAACATGTACCATCGCAAACGAAATAAAAAGGCAAACATTGATGAGTACCTCTTGGCTTATTTAACGTCGTATTCTGATCACTTCTCATCGCTGCAATGATGCTGTTAACAGTAGCTCCTGGACCTGTGATCTGGAAAAAGGCGAATTAAAATTAATGAAACCCGACTCTATCGTGAAGGCCACGTAATACAAAATGGTTGAAAAAGAACCAAGCTCTGTACTTCTGCAAGTCTCGAAGATCGTTTGGAGATAATAAGTTGTTGCTTGAAGATGAACGATTGCCCTCCGATTGCTATCGGAAGCTGAGGATAGACTTTAAATTACGAAATGACGCGGTTGGGAGAGTAAATCACTAACAAAAGACTCACTGACGTTTTGTAACGAGAAAGGTACAAACTGAACAAATCTGAGTTGCCATTAGGAGCCAAACACATGCCTTCGCCATCCGCTTCTTTACCACTATGCTACCGAGAACTCGATAGAGAGTTGGGTAATTTTTACAATCGGCTTAACGTACCTGGGAAACTTGACTTGAATTGCTGGAGCTTTCCTCTGGGGGCCAGATAACGCCGATCGATGATTCTATCATTGAGATTAGCTTTTCAAAGTTGGTTTGAAGGACGGTAGCTTGTTCCGCATGATCAAACAAAACCAACATCTTGAGCAAGGACGCCATGTCGTCTGCAAATGAAGTAATCGGAAATAACGTTGCATGCACCACGATACTCTAGTTATAACTGACACTTAACTGCACATGCGTACTTCAGCCTTGTGTCTATGCTTGCGTTTTTACGACCAGTCTCAAATGAATCAGTGGTTCAGCCCCTAAATCTTCTTTCCGCGCCCTTTATGGGCCTGCCTTGATTTATCCAATATATAGGGCGCTAATACATGAACTGGACTCGCATACCTGTGGTCTTGTGAACGGTTTGAATAATGTCAGAAAGTGCTTCCATCAAGGCTAAATCCTCAAATCTACTTCCCTCTTTCAAGCTGTACATCTTTCGTGCAGTTTTTCTTCGATTTTTGGAGGATCGCCTGTCAAAAATAAATTTTAATTACAGACCTTACTTAGCCGCAAAGAAGTTTAGGAAAGATGTGACTTAAGTTTAAAATAGGACTTTTGTCTACCCGGTTGATCTTGACCCACGGGAACTGGTGCTAGAGGCATACTCCGAGTTATCGCCTACGCTGCTCGTGTCGGAGAACAGGTCCGTATCATCTCGCGCCAGTCCACTCTCTGTAAAGGAAGACACCGACGAAAAAAATTTCGAAGATGATTGGAAAAAAGGAAATTAGTGGCTGACTCAAAGGTACAGGCAAATGAACCAGCATGGAACAAAGCAACCAAAAAAATTACCTAAAAATGTCGTGTTATACCTTGATATTCTACACTTTGCTGTTCTTTCAATTCTCTGACAACTTTCAGTCGCTTGGTGTATTTATTGAACAGCTCCTCCTGTTCTTGTATGGAACTCAAATGGTGGTTATGGGCTGAGATTAAAAAAAATAAAATTAAAAAAAACAGACCTTTATTCTTTAAGCTTCCTATTCTTACAAGGAAAACAAGTTCAAGTGAGCCTTGCAAATATTTTCAGTTAAACTTTGTTAAAGAGATGACGACTCCTTCAACTCTTGGAATGACGTTTGTTTGTTTGTTTTTTCTTTTAAATATCTTTCGGATGAAAAAAATCCCGCGAATACTCTTCAATGATGACTCCGCAGATGATCAGAAATTCCCGTTTTGCGAAGATAAGTAGTAGTTAAATTACTATTACAAACCTTCTTCCAACGCGCCTTTCAAATGTGTCTCCACAATATCTGTCCGATCATGTTTATGCATCTATAAGGGACATAAACACGAACCTTGTAAACGGCGACGTTATACAAAGTTAGCCCTAAGTTAACTTAAACCGCTTCCATCCTCCATCGAGTTTAAAGGGCTTGCGTCCCTTGATAAGTCACACGAAAGGAGACGAACTGTTCCGTCGAGTTTTAAGCAAAACTGTTATGTCGCTTTTTTCCTCTGGAAATTCGCTCTCTCTACTGAAGGCACGTAAGTCTGAAAGGAAAAAATAATCCTGCCCCAGTCTTACACGCTCACTCACTCATTCGCTCCAGGCTTCCTCTGTCCCGCTAGTGCTAGCGAGACCATCGACTTGACTAGTGAAAGCGTGCTTCAAAAAAATTCTTACAGAGACTTGATAATACGTTTGAGTTCCCGTGATAGTACAGGAGGGACGCCGTCCTAAAACTCTCTAACTCACCAATCTCAGAGCTTCTTCCCACTGCATTCCGTCGATAAGAACAGCAATGGCTTCCTCAGGATCCTACGAAACCAAACAAAAAAGCACAAGGACATAAATCCAAACCAAGAAACAGCAGGTCTTCAAAATTTGAAAAGAATGAAAATGTAACAATAGAGAAGGAATTCAAATGAAAAACCATAAATCTAAGGCATAGTGTAAAAGAGTTTAGAAATTGTCATTAGCTGGTGCGGGGATAAACGCACTAACCCTGAGTGATGATATATCAATCACTCATAACTAGACTCTTGTGTTCTCTGCAGTTCTTTACCTTTGCATATTCTTCCAAGACTCTGGAGGCTTCAAGGGAACGCTTATGTCCTTTCAGATAACCTACAGATTTGCAAACAAACACATTAATCCTGACCAACAGATGTTTCAAGAACAAGAGAGTTCTACCAAAGAGGTGAGTAGCTCACCTGCAACTGTTCTGGCCAATGATACCACTTGTTCACCGGTGTGCTGCAACAGAGAAGCCATACAAAACACTTGTCTCCAGTTTCCGCTCTTCTGGAATGATGATAGAGCTTGCTCGTGAGCTCCACAACTGGTAAATACTGCAAAAAGGAAAGTGAATACTTGAGGCTGGTAAGGCTAGTAAGTGCTAAATTCATTGTGGTTATACCTGAAAGGTTTGGTAGAAGCAGATTTATAACAACCACATATAGGTAATAATGCAAATTTATCCTCTTCTAAATTTGAAACGTTAAATAACATACCTAGTCCGGCTTCCTCGTGTCTTTTCTGTTGAACAAGGTACTCGCCATATGCAACCAATAAAGCCTGTAAATAACGCAGTTATTTCAAAATTAACCCGAGACAGACAAGCTAATCTTCAACGTCTTTGATGGGTAGCCTGGGTGGGCTTATGGCTAAGTCAGGTGGATACACACTCTGGTCCAATCCATTCGTAAATGGACACAGTCATTAAATCATTAGAAAGGAAAAATAGCAGAACGAACATGAAAATCTTCAATCGCATAATTATCGACTCACCCGGTGCTCCTGGCTGGATTTCCCATAAAGCTTAAGCGCGTCCTTGAATAGACAGTTCTCTTTCACAAGTGAAACAAGCTCATCAAAATGTTCTGGCCCTAGAGAATACATCAGAGAAGTCACTCGCACTGCTGCGACGAGCTACTTCAGTAAGAGCCAACTCACGAGGGTGAAGCGAATGAAAATATTTTACCGTCCCCCCTTCCCCCCCCCCCCCCAAAAGAGAAAAAAAATCCTCAACAGGTCGCTAATACCCATCTATACTGCAAACTACGTTGCACAGAATTTCAACACACAATATTAGTTTCTGGTGTTTGGTTTACTATTGCTCAAACAAGGCGGACTGTTGGGGTAACAGGTGACTTGTTCTTCACAATCTACCCCCTTAAATCGCAAAAAGAATACTCCCATATTACATTACAACTTCACTACCTACCGCACAAACTAAGATGTTGAATAGCTTTAGTGTGGCGCTTAAGGTATTTGTCTATGCTGAAACGCTGGAAATTTGTCTCCATTTTCCGTAGATTATTTAAAAATGGGAGATATTCTTTAGGATCCTGAAAAAAAAAATGTGAATTGGTACAAATCAGCATCATCGGCTTCCTTTAGACATAAACGCGCAAAGAATACCGCTGTCCACTTTTATCATTACCTTCTGCGATTTTTCAGCGACCATAAGTACTAATTCAAAGTCGTACATTCCCAGTGCTACGTCATACATTTGATTGACGTCTACCAGAAAGAGAACATATCTAAGGGCTTCCTCTGACGTAACTCGTTCGGTTTCTGTTGTATTTACTGGATTGGCTTGAATGAAAATAGGAACTTAAGTTAATAAATGTGATATATATTGTGAACGCCTTCAAAACCTACCACTTACATAAAAAGGGAAAAAGTAGTATCTAGGCATTTCGCTAAGACCGCCTAAACAGTAACGTAATATCTAAATACTGCAAAAATACCAATGATTTAAATCGTTCCAATGACGGCAAAACGGTATGATTTTAACAAAAGTCGATTTTATCCACAAAACTGAAGAAAAAGATGGATCAAAGTGGAAAAACTGTAGGACTTGACGAGAAAACGTTTCTTACACTCCGGAGTCTCCTACATTGTACCAAGAAAGAAGAAATTTCATGGACTCGATTCACGTTTATCAAAAGATAGAACCCAGGATTCTAGTTCAAGGCGAGAAAGCAAATATTACTACCTGTAGGAGCTTGAAACAAACGAACAAACAAACCTTTTAAATCTTTGATGATCATCAAAACTTTCTCTAACTCTGGATCATTCTTCTTCACATACGTGGTTAGGATGGACAGAAGGTACCTACAAATAAATTGGGCAGAATTGAGGTGTTCACATACATACGCACTGTTCTCTGATAGAGAGCCAGGAACGAGCTAATTCCTTCCCAGTCGCCTCTCTGTTGGAAATGCACGGGAACAGTTCCCTTCGTGCTCTTCGTTGTGTGCTGATGAATGACTCGTTTCCATATCGCTTGCACTTTCAGACACCACAGATAAGTTAAAACTGGGAACTAGTCAGTAGCGAAACCTCAGAAAACTAATGCTACTCACCTAAAATATACTCAAACCAGTAACTAGTTATAGTTCTCACTAGAGCTGCCCCCGCCCTACAGTACCATTTTCTTTTTTTTTTTTTTGAGTTGGGCTTGTTGTTTACAGTTGTGTAGTTATGACCATTTGCGGGAAAAACGTTGATACCTTGCGGCCGTGCAAGCGATCAAATCGAGATTTTTTTTGGTTACGATCAACCGAAAACACCTACATTCTCTCTTCTCCAGTCTTCCTCTATACTATGACAAATCTCGTGTCAAAGACGCCGATCCTAAAAGTCCTCGCGCGCGTGTCTTTTTACTGGCAGCCCATGACCATTTGCGGGAAAAACGTTGATACCTTGCGGCCGTGCAAGCGATCAAATCGAGATTTTTTCTGGTTATGATCTACCGAAAATACCCACATTCCCTCTTCTCCAGTCTTCCTCTATATTACGCGGGGAGTCCTAAGGTGCCTCCTCGGGTTTTTGGCCCTCTAGGGCCAAAAACCCTGCGGGGGCAATTATGACTTACTTGTTATGGCCAACAGCTTCCAAGGCAGCGCGCACAGCATCACAAACTCGATCAACTTTACTTAACTCATCACCCAGAGACGCAACAGGGCTGTTGAAAGAAGAACCGTTTTAAAATACTACGACGGACAAGCGCTCGTTATTAGCGCTCCTGCACGAGCTTTTCTCTGCCAGTGGGAAGTATGAGACCTTGAACAATACGAGTCAGCGACAGTTCTGAAAGGAGTCTAACCAAACCTCTACCCAACTCGTCTCCAATCTTCCCACGGGCAGGGAAACATGCGTCTTGCAGCGCTTATAGTGAGAGCTCCTTTCAAACAATCTAAAAAGACGCCAGTGCGCCAGCAAAAGGTGTTTTAACAACAGGTTGGTGATAAATCAAAGCAAAGAAGACGAAAAGTTGCTATTACCATGGCAACCAACAAAGCAGTCAAACGACTGTGCTTGTGAGAACGTGAATGCCAGAGGCAAGTATGGAGAATATACATATTGATGTAAGGGTGGAAAGTGTTGAAAACATATTAAATAAACACGTACGTCTGTTTTGATTCAGAATAATAATCAGAATACATCGTGGTAGTCACATCTTCCTCTCTGCCAGAGAAAAAAAAAATCAAGAAATTAAAAACACCCGATCGTAAACTTTTTGACACTTTTAAATTGGAAATCGAAATTCAGAAAACCACATACTTAAGATCCGTGAGGAATAGGTTGATAAAATTTACCGATTCCACATGACTCACAAATTTATCCAAATTTTCCAAGAAAAGCTGCGAAAGACAGAATTTCAGTAGATATTTTATTATAAATAAATAAACAAATAAAGAAAACTAAAAATGCTCGCTCACATGACCGGTTCCCCGGCCCCGGTCTTGAGTGCAAGAAACTTGTACCACTAATTTGGTTTCATTCAGCCATAAAAAAGTGATACTCACCTTGGGATTGTGGTCATGTATCAAATTAAGATTGATCCGATGACGGCGCATGACGGTAAAGGCCTCTCCATAGCTGAGACTGAAATACCAAAGGTACATTGATCAACATAACCACGCCCAATTCTAGATCAGAGTAGTCTATTTAAGGCGCTATTGTCCGAAGTTAGACACTAGTATCTGATTTTAGACACTAGAATCTGATTTAAGACACTATGTCCGATTTTAGACACTAGCGTCTGCTTTTAGACACTTGAGTCTGATTTTAAACACTAGTGCCCGATTCTAGACACTGTTGTTCAATTTTAAACACTGTTCTCCACTTTTAGACGTTAGCGTGTGATTTTAGACAGTAGTGACCGATTTTAGACACTATTGTCCAATTTTAGACACCGTTCTCCACTTTTAAACACTAGCGTCTGGTTTTAGACAATAGTGACCGATTTTAGACCCTATAGTGTCCTATTTTAGACACTAGAGTTTCGATTTTAGACAACAATGTCCCATTATAGACACTGGAGTCTGCTTTGGGTTGCCAGTGTCTTAAGTCCAATTATTCCGAGACTAGTATCCGTTTTTAAACACCAACGTCCGATCTTAGGCACTAGTCACCTGGTGTCCAGTCTCGTCAAAAATCCAGTCTCATCACCAGGCCTACTCACCTGTCTAAACATTTCTGTAAATACGACAAAACTAGCGATCGAGGATGAATAGTCTCTATATTTCCACGAGGCATCTACGAGGATAATCAGACAAAGATAACACTTCAGTTGTATACATTAGCCGCATAAGGAAAAATTCTGGCCAAATTTCTTGTTACTAAAATAGGGTCTGTATACGAAGCTGAATTGAGTAGCTACGCAACTTAACCGTGTTTCTTTAGAAAGAAGCGACTAGGAAAACTTCATTCTTTCTGGATGGTGTGCGAGACCATCGCTTGTGAATCCACCCAGCAATTAGCGAGTATTTCCTGGCAGTTTGGCGGAGAGAGCATTGTGAGAGTTCAGAGTCTTACGTAAGAACACAACTCAGATGACCCCGTCATGGCCTCTCGGACCCAGACTTCTCGATTCAGAGTTCAACACGGTAACCTAAACGCCATCGCGTTTTCCGTAACTTGTTAAGAAAAGGACGCTTGAATGTAAAAGAATTCCACCGTGGAAAAATGAAGTCTTTTAAAAGTATTCCTGTTCTCGTACCTGCAAAATAACTTTCGTATCTTGAGTAACAGCGACCACTATCCGTGAACCTCTCTCGACGCGTCTTATGTTTTCATCCAAAGGATGCGGTTTATCTTCAATCAAAACTGGCAAACCTACGACATCAAGGAGTAGTCTGAAGTAAGCTTTCGCTGAGATCAGACAAGTTTGTGGCGCTGAAGGTGATGGATTCTTAACCGCACTAACTCAGAGTTCGGATATGGAAAAATGTCACCTTAATTTTGCAAGTGCTTTATTTCTAAGAATTCGTGTCGATCTTAGAGATGAAAATAAGTTTCTAATCAAAATTTTACCAATCGCTCTGACGAAGGGCTAACGCTCGAAACGTCAGCTTTTTTACCCTTTACGGTGGCTAATTTACGTTTTCAACCCAGTTGTTAACACTAAATTACCTGCTATACTCTCCCACCGACGCAGCACCACAGTTTCTTTAGAAACTTACCCCTTTATTCTAATCAAAAGGTCTGGAACCTACCTCGCGTGGTTGGTAAAAGACTTATACAACGCAACGTGTGCGCATGCGTTGTTAGAAGAAGAAATTCATCATGAACAGCGAAGGAAGAGCAGTTTGAAGCCACCTATAATGTAAAATTCAAATTATGTTCCGCTGTCAGCTGTGGTATTTGGCACTACGATAAAAACATCAAAATACAGAATCGTACCTCTTTGTTATTCGCATATAACCTTGAGTGTTCAGTCAATCCCAGAACGACTTCCTGTAAATTAAAAAAAAAAGGATTTCTTAGTTACGGCACAATGGCTTCGGGGAAAGTTTTCATGAGTCCAGATCAAAATGTCAGGGTTTAACTTTTGCCTGAGGTTGACGAATTTTGTATTTGACATTTAATTCTCGATTGGGAAACAATCAAAGTTCATTTGCCTTCACGGGTGTTTTTTTTTTTTATCCTGTTTCAGGAAACAACTACAGAAGGTGAGGAGACTCGGGTCAACTTTGACCACTGAACAAAATTATATTTGAGTTACAAACCTCATCTCCCACTAAGGCTGTTTTTACACACTGGCACGGTTGAGGGAGAGAGATTTCAAGTCCTCGACTGTTAAACCATGGTGATAATTTGGCCTGGCTTGAATCTGAAAACAAAATAAATATGTCACGTCAGATTTAGGAGACCTTTGAACAAGGACTCAACTCGCCTTTCAAGTTAGATACCTGAAGTGTAACTAAGTAAGTTTCCATTGATGAGCTCCACTAATACAGACTCAGTGTGACGACGGGCACAAAGACGAAGGACTGGCGTGTCGGTTTCAGTGGTGCGCCTGAGAAGAAAAGAGAAGAAATTGGGAGTAATAAAGCTTAGTGAAACCTTTACATCCTCCGTATTCTCTATACTGTTCTCTAAACATTTCTAAGGTGCTGATAAGGAGAATTTGTTCAACAATAAAGAGCTTCTCTACATGGTGATCATTTCCTTTACTCTTGTGGCCTTAAAGTTTGATTCAGCAGTGATATTGTAAATTCTCCCCTCTAGCTTCTACACATTTCCTTGAAATTTTGCTGTGAGAATTTAAATGCTAGTCACTCTTGTGAGTAAAAGGGTTCATAGTGACTTGCATTCTCAAGTATGCTGGTTATGTAGACCTCTGTTTATTTGGATTTCTTAACAAATAAATTGTTAACAAACGAAAGGTAACGGAGAGTGTTTTGAAAAATCGAGGGTGCTCGCAAATCATGTAAAATAAAAAAAAATCTCAAGAGTTTACCAGAATTTTACTCAGTTGAAAGGAACAACTAGACACCCACCAGCATTGAGTTTAGAATCAATGACTTCTGCTGATATAACTTTGCATGTTATGTGGGTATATTTCCTGGCTTACAATCTACTATAATGAAACCCTGTTAATGGCAGACTGGCTGTGATTCACAAAGGAAATAGAAATAAGTAAGACTGTATCACTGTGAATACACATAAGTTCAACTCTCACCTGATAGCAATGCTATTAGCCCCATCTTCTGCAGAGATCTCTAATTCACAAACAATGTCTTTCTGACTCATGGTATCCCATCCAACTGCGATTAGGGTGCAGTCCTTCCACCAAATCATCTGCCGCCAACACAAGGCTCCTGTCCATACTGTTGGAAAGTCTTTGGTGTCTATACTGTTATGTACAAGAATCACATAATAAAGAATGAGTAAATAAGCAGGAAGCTTGTGTGCAAACATCAGTTAGAACTCCAAGTCTCCGTTCCACATCCTAAAATTACAAAATGATTGCTTGGGTCTAGGATTGTCTTGTCTTCAAACCCTAAAACTTGGTTCTAAAAATGTAACAACATATCACATGGAGGTCAAACACAGGTATCCAAAATGGTGACTAAGTTGCCAAAATTGTTTCTAAGTCCCCATGGGAAGAGAACATCATCTGTCAATTTCTGTACCACAAGAAAGCATTTTGTTGAGAGAAAAATAACAACACTATGTTACCTGTAAATGCCAACAAGTTTTGGGGCTTTGCCAGGTGCCCTGAACACTTCTTTTACGCCATTTTCTGTCAATAATTTGAAGACTGCCATCTTGCCATTGGACATCATAACTGCCATATCACTACAGTGTGTGGGGGGAGCAAAGCTGATGGTGGACGCTGGGGATGGCAGGTCCAGGGCATAGGCAGACATTGGAGGGGGAACCACCATGTGTTTCATTGGAGTCAGCAACAACTTAGCTAAGAATAAGATAAGGAATATCTAAACTAAACCTGGCTTTTACATCCAAATATCAGTACAAATATTCTCCATACTGTTCTCTATACATTTCCTAAGATGCTGGCAAGGAAAATTTGTTCAACAATCAATAAGTTCTTAAGTTGGTGGTCATTCCCTTTGGCCTCCTGACCTTGACATTTAATTTAGGGGTGATATCATAAGGAGGACTTGGATGCTAGTCATTTTTAGTGGGACAAAGGGTTAAAAATACAGATGGCTGAATTCATAAATGGCCATGCATATTTACACAAACCAAAACTTGACAATAACTTGCCACACCTACGTACATCTACATGTATGAACATAAAGGATCAATATCAGTATCTGGGCAACTGCCCACCTACCCCTCCCCTAACCCAACATTAACCTTAACTTGTTGTCAATTGACTTTTGTTGAGTTAGGGGAGGGGTAGGTGGGCATTTGCCCAGATACTGATATTGATCCGACATAAATGTGGGAACAAGGAAAATGTGGAAATCTTACTTATGAACTACCTACTTATGAACAAGATCTATTTTACACAGGGAACAGAGAATAATTTTAAATAAAAATTCTTAAACAATTAAAACACTTTCAAAAAGCTATAACAATACCTCCATCAATTACTGCTACAGTGGACATGTTTTGTTCACTAGCCCCTTCACTATGAACTGTACTCCAACACCACTCATAACTCAAGTACTGACCTCCTGTGCAAGGAAATAATTTTAAAATGCATTTGTTGAGCTCAGAGTCATGACAGAAAATAATAAAAAAGAAGACCACTAACTCATCTCAATTTTGGACAACTGGCACATGTAAGATCATATATATTTGCTTAATAATGACATTTATCTTGCAACCAATGTGCTACAATTTGCATGTGTTCATTCTTACCTCTCGTCATGATGTGCATTCTTAGGGCAGCCTCTGGGTCCCATAAAAGACAGGCCACTCTATGTTTAGCAGATGCTGGGAATTCCAATTGCTGCTTCAGATACCAGTGATAATTATTCACAGTCCACAACTGAACTGCAAGTCACAAGGTAAAACAAAAATATCTTAGTATTATCTTAGCATAGTATTAGTGGAAGAGCAACTAGAGAACCATATCTAACAACATTGTTACTTGGAAAAGATGAGAGTGAGAGTGATTCCTACCACTTCAGTTTTACATCTAAATAAAAATGACACGTGTCTAATAAACCTTTTGATCCCCAAGAGTGACCAGCATCTAAATTCTCCTTGCAATATGACCCCTGAATCACGAGAATAAAGGACATGATCACCAAGCTCTCTGTTGTTGAACAAATTCTCCGTGTCAACATCTTAAGCAATGTATAGAGTACAGTGGGGAGAATATTTATAACGATATTGGGGTTTACAGGGTTTATAAATGAAGAAAACAAACCATAAGACTTTGGTACAAATTCTTAAAAAAAAAAAACAACAACAAAACAAAAACAAAAACAAAAACAAAAAAACAAAAGAAAGAAAGAAAGAAAGAAAGAAAGAAAGGCAACATGTTTAAGGCCACACACATCTGCTCTGATATTGTTAAGCCCATGAGCTTTTCATAGCTATCATCATTTATGATCACAAAGGCCAGAGATTACAGCCTCAGTGAGGTTTTTATTCAACTTAAACAAAAACATATTGTGCCAAATCAGCCATAAAATATTATTACAGCATGTTTAATGCTTTAACCTTGCGGTTGACCAGTTTCTCTTTACAATATCACCCCTGAATCACATATTGAGGTAACAAGAATAAAAGAAATGATCACCAGCAAAGGAAGTTCTGATGTGATTGTTAAACAAATTCTCCTTTTTCACCACATGTATGGAGAGCAGTATGGAGATTATGCATACTGATGTTACAGTGTAAACCATTAACTGCTATTTACCTGAACTTCCATCTTGCCAAAAGGAAGCACAAATTCTCCATGTCTGAGGCCATTTCTCTCAAAGAAAATCACTTCATGTCTATGAGGCTTGCGCTGGGTTGAAGCTATTAAGCTGCCTGATGGTCTAAAAAGGTAATTATAAAAACAAATATTTAAAAAAAATGGAAAAAAGTAAAGGCAATTAAATAAAAACTGTATAAAAAAATAGAAAAAAAATAGAGGCAAATGAGCTTGAGGGAAAGCAACAAAACTTTGCTGATGACTTTCATGAACCTACCTCCAAAATAATGCCTGTTCCAATCCATCAACATTTTCACTTGTAGAGCTAAGTACACCTTCCCTATTCCACACTCTCAATTTCCTTGCACCTATCATCAAACAACATACAATCATTTTCATGCGTGACTTATGGTACATACATTTGGATGCTGAATAAAATTGTGAACAAAAATAAATTGACATGACTGGAGACAGATTTCAGAATGAGCCATAGTTAGTGAAGTTGAAGTTGTACAATGCCCAAAAGCAAAGTGTGATATTTATTAGGGGAGGAGAGAGACGAAGGTAGGAGTATTAAGAACAAAAATGATGTGCTAAAGCAG